ATCCGCCTCCACAGAGCACTGTGTTCTAGCCATATATAGCCTAGGGCTGACGCATTTGCTGAATTCAATTAAGTGGACGGTGAACCTGGACTTTACAGTACCGGTACCTATATTCTCGTTTAAGTCGTGATAAACAAATCAAAGTCACGCTAAGAAATCATACCTGTTTGAAGCCGTGAAAAGGACCCGAGAAATGACGAAGCGACTTTTCCCTGGCTTCACAGTGAGCCACAGCGCCGGTACATGTGGGCAACGTTGAGATGAAGCTGTCACAGCGCCACCTGCAAAACTTGGCAGGGTCTCCCAGCTCGTCAGCACGTCAGCACGTCAGCACTGCACTTCAGCAAGTCAACCCTCGTTATCTCCACGTGATCTCCAAGAAACTTCTCCGTACCTGGGAAACAAGGTGCCCTGCACATTGTCTAAATCAAGAATGAAAAATGATCTTGCTGATCCCCACAGCGTAGAACATCGGAGTGCAACACGCTCAGGTGTCTCTTCACATTGCTGCTGACCTGCCGTCTCTCGTCTTTTCGCTTAGGGACGACTTTCGGCATAGAATCCCAGCCACTCGCCCGTTGGGTCAACGGCTTGAGGCAAGCTGCCAATCAGCTTTTAGCTGTACCTGAGCCGCGATCTTATCGGCCACTTTACTGGTAGAGAAGACCACAAAATGGTTGGCACTCTGAATACGCAAATTTCTGCAATAGCAGCGGATTTTAACACGCCCCTACGGTTGAAGGACCACCTGATCTCCAATCCTGCTGCCTGCCTGTGGTCGATAAGGACACTTCCCAGTATGTAACATATAGTTTAGGTCAAGGCATCAGAAACAAGCCTATTGATTGAGAACATTTTACTGTGTTAAATTGGTTACTGTGAAGAGATATAATGGTATTATGTCTCATTGTGTATGCTATGGTGTATTGGACAGAGTGATCTAAGCCAAATCTGATCAAATGAATAGTTTAGCTCAACTGGAAAATGGTCACAAGGTAGACTATCTAAGCCGAAGGGTATAATGAGGGGGGGTTAAAAGCACTCTAAGAAATAAACGTGATCCAATCTGATATCTGTTTATTTTGTGAGCAAAGGCTGTGTAGGGAGGACAACGCATGCATATGTCATATCTATATATCTATGCTACAGGTCCTGGAGTGACTGTCCACGATTCAGCAATAAATTGCAGATGGCCAGATACCCTTAGTGCCTCTGGATCGAGATACACCTTAAGACCCATGTCATCTCGGCCAAGGTTGAAGACCCGGAAGATAACATAGATTGTATCTCTATTCTCTGGCGTTAACGTGTTCTCTTGCATCTGTGGACTCGTTAGCAATTCAATCCTCAGCTTTGATTGCTAGATCCTATCTGATATCTCACCCTTCGGTACTGTGATTTACTCATATAGAGTTGCGTGCTGCATGACAGAGTGGTTGTCTTGACCTCGATGAAGTATTTGGGTGTTTTACCAGCCCAGTCCTCTCGAGCCAGATACCCCTTTTCAATGAGGAAATTCGTCAACACGCTCTCGGAATCAGCATACATGATATCTGATGTCTCTCGCCCATTCCATGGCTCCATGTCCGCGTACTGCGGGTGCACAGAGACGTATTTGCGGACAGTGCTCTGCCAGTTTTCTCTAGAGAACAGCGGCAGTCGGCGATCTTCGATTAGATGCGACAGCAATTCGAAGACCTTAGAATCGGGGCTTAGTTATAGGTATCAAGCAAAACAGAAGAAATGTGGACTTACATAGAGCTCCCCTGCTGCACCGATCTTGCAGTCCCGCTCAATCTGGCTTGCGGAACGCAGACCAAAATCAGGCATAGCGTCCACCCTTGGCAGATCATTCAACAATTGGCTCATTCCAAACGCCCCATGGCTAGGGAAACAACCTCTTCTCGCTGCTGAGATGACTTTGCCCAGGAGCTCGACATACTTCTGCTGATCATGTGCTTGTAGTGCAGGTGTGGGAGATGGAGATGGAGCTGCAAACACAAACGGATCGCCGTATCGTAAGGGAGGTCTTGTCGGCGTGTGAAGCATGTATCGATTGGAAATATCCGCTCTGTGCCGGCTCAGTGGCGGGCTCATGACTGAGGATGCAGGGGTTGCAAGATTCTCAGAGTCGCTGTCATCCTGGTCGCTTGAAGAAGAGTGTTGGGACTCGTCCTCGCTTGCTCCCCTTGGCGTGCTAGGACAATCCAGATCGAGCAAGATCTGCTCATCATCGTTGGCAATATCGCTTGGAGCAATTCCATTTGCTTCCAAGGCCATGTGTATAGTTGCACGGGGGCTTACCAAGATATCCTTTGTTGCGCTGACCCCGTCCTTACTAGCTTGTCCCGGAATTTGCGTGGTGGGATTTCTCATCATCCAGTCAAATAGTTTCTGTGAAAGTAGCGTCGTGAACGCGTACTCCTGAGTATCTTTGTTTCGTGGTAAATAGATCTTTAGGCCAGACTGCGTCTCGTCAATATGCAGACTAATCGTCGTTCCATCAAGCTGGTGTGGGTTTCCATCTTGAACGAGATAAAGGTCTGATGAGATCCCGTCAGTCTGAAGAATTTCGGTACTCTTCAACAACTCATAAAAAGCTTTGGCATCTCTGTCAATCTGTGTGCGAGGGCTGTTGAAGTGACATGCGATTCTGCAGTGGACTTAGCTCCTGTATTTCTAAGACCATGAATCTTTAGCTGAGGAAACCCACCTAAGAAGAGCGTGTGCGCGGTTCCAGATTTGACGGTTGGGGTCTGATATCAACCTCGCCGCCGCACCATGAAAAGAAGTAATTTCTTTCACGCATTGAGAAAGATACCTGGTATCAAGATGCATCCAGTTCAAGAACGGACGAAGCCGAACAACTTCCTGCAAAGTGAAGTCAAGAAGTTTGACTTTAGTCCGAAAAAGCTCCCCTAAGTTCTCGCGATCGACAATGGAAAACTCTGTGGTAATTGATCCACGTGTGCTAATTCCATTAGGCAGCTTAATAGGGAAAATGCAATTTTCCATGACCTTTTCAGGCTTCGGAAGTTTTGTCGAAGTCGGGAGCAGAGAGTTGACAGTCCATATCGACTCCTTAATGTCTTGTATAGAGGTTGATTGCCTCCCGCCTGCCTCTTTCAACTCGTCAATTGCCATCGTTAGATCCACCATTCTGACGCCGAGAAATTTTACGAAGAACTCTTCCAAGTCTTCGTAATCGTCGTTGAGAGAAACTCTTCCTCTGAGTGTGGCTGCGCTGGACCATACGCATTGCGATACTTTATGCCATGCCGGCCCATTATTTGACGGTACGTAGATCAGTGCGTTGTTCTCGAAGGCATCCCTACAGATGATGATTAGCAACTAGGTCATCATGTCATGCATAATGGCTAGATTTCACTTACTTAAGATTAGTCTTGTTTATGCCGATAAGCGTTGGTCGAAGAGTGTCTAGTGCTTTGTAGATGTTGCACATCTTATCGCTATCATTACAGCCTGTGGCGCTGAGAGATTTTAGTTCTTCGACATAGACATCCCAGGTACAATCAGATATCCCTAAAGTGTTCGTGAAGAAGCGGGCGGAGTAATCGCTGTCTGCGTCATGCAAGCGGAAGAGTGGTTCGTAAAGCAATCGCAAAGCATATTTCGTGCTCAATTTGTGAGGAGCGTCCCATACACATTGGTTAGGAAAGGCCCATGTGTGACGATCTCTCCCAATCGGGATGTAGATTAACTTGCTACGATCAAATATATACCTAAAGTTGTCAAAACGTGTGAATGCGAGGCTTGGGTCTAAACCTACCTAATTTTCTTCTTTGCGCTCTCCTTATCTTCACACCCCCGGTATTCTGTCTCGATATGGTCGTACAAATTGAAGAGTCTTACTTTGCCTCGATCTGTTGGTGTGTCGGGGAAGGCGTCCAACGAATACTTCAACATGTCTAAGGCAAAGTCGAGGGCCGTCGCGGGAGATCCGACCTCAACGTACGCGAGAAAGCTCTCCCATTCGGAAATGGCGCCTTTCTGAATGTCTTCTGAGTTTCTCCAAAGCCAGGGAAAGAAAGCATTAGGCTCGACGAAACGCTGTACTAGTCTTTCCAGCTCCGTAGTCGGAAGATAAGCATCCTTTAAGGGTACTCGGCGATTCCCTCGACAAAGAACTTCCATTTTGGGAAGCCGTTCCTTGAAACTCGGCCAGATAATTCTACCGTTTCGTTGATAGAAGACCTGAACAGCGTTCAAAAATCTGTCTGGTCTCTTGTCCCGCAGGTATACCTCGATATTCTTATGATTTTGAGAATTAGGAAGATCAAAGCGAACATACGTGAGCACGCGAAGCTCTTTGGTGAACCACTCCATCCATCCCAATCTTTGTTTAATGGGCTTGGCTGGGGGGTCTTTAAAGTAGTCTTCGTGCACAAAGACGGCAGGATAGCCTGGTGCACCATCTCCTGGATTTCGGCCTGGGCTAGTTCTCTTGAACAGTTCCGAAGCGCCGCATGGCTCAGCGTTCACAAGGTACATATCCACACTGTGTGGTCTATGCATTCGAGATGTCGTGTCGTGAATTGTCAGGTCTGCAAAAGCATTAGAGCCTTCGCGGTTGCTCTTTAAGTGCTCAGTCAGATAGAGAAATTCGAGATGCTGCTTCGATGTCGCGAATGTGACAGATTCCATCGACCCAGTTTGCGAATATCTGACCAAAATTTTCTCCCGCACAAGGGCTGCACCAGCTGTCTCCACGTCCAAAGCTTTGAATAGTTTCAATCGGGTTGAATTCGTCACTTTCTTTGATATAAGCCTCATATTTACACCTGGAGGGATATCCAATCCGGCGGTCTGTCCGAGATAGACCGGACCGGACGAGATGCTGGTCCAGGTGCCATCGTCAAGAGGCAAGATGTCAATAGTCTTCAACACATGTTTCCAGGTATAATTGACAGGTAAATCAACAGATTTTTGTAATAGTCTGGCGACTCTCGTATGCCAGCTGTCAGACGTTGCGGCTGATCTCATTCTGGACCGCCACCACTGGCTTATATCATTCTTTAGCCATTCAAAGACGTGCGAGAACTTGGCATACTCGAGTCCATAACTTCGCAGCAAATCCAAATCGCTGTCTCTGTAACGTCGTGAAATCATCTGCTCCGGCTCAACATCATCGAATAGGGGCTCTCCATTCTCATCAAGGTGGTCGGTCTGCAGCCGGACAAGGTCTTTAATGAGACGCCCGTCGGCCCTCTTCTGGCCGTACAACACGGCCGCTCTAGCGAGTCCACCAGCTATTCTGTTCACCAGGGCAAGCCATAGGCCGTTCCAATTCGTAGAGTTCTTGTCGGGCAAGTATCTCATCCACTGGTACCGCAAGGTGTCATGCCTGCAGAACTGCAGAATTGCTTTGACGAAGGCTTCGGCGATACCATCGATCAGACCATTGTTACGAAGGGAATCCCTGACAATATCCTGTCGGCTTGCATCCGTCACGAAGTCGGCCTGTATCAAGAACTTGAACCCAACAGGGCGAACAGGCAAGAAGACAAAGACGTTCTGGGGCTCGATGACGGGGACCGAAGCTTCTGTGACTGGGAATGCAAGCGTGATCTGAGACTTCGAGTATGCGCGGGTGGCCTCTTCGGTGTCCGAGTACGTTCGATTCTCGTTCTTTGCGAGGTTTGTCGCTTGGTGGGTGGTGACGTGGAAGTGCTTGACTTGTGTCTGCGTTGTGCCATTGATGGTCTTGGTCCTCTCAAGAATGGCAAAGGTAGTCCGCGGGCGCTTGATCGAGTAGGCAGCGGACGATGTCTCGTCTCCATCCTCGTCGTAAAAGCTGACATTGACGCGTCTGAGGTTCTTCATGAATAGAAGGATAGTCTCTTCGAGCTCTTCGAATTGCTCCTGAATAATCTCTCGAGTTTTTTTCAACACATCAGCGTCTCCGGTATCATGTAGATGAAGGGTGATCCTCGTCAGCTGCGATGTAGGCTGGTCGCTGGCTTCCTCCCAGACCGGGGATATCATTCCCATGCCGGAATCTCCATTCCTATGAGTGAAAGAGAAGGAAAAGCTGCCTGATTGGATATGGGCTTTCCAAGCTGCCATGAAAACGGACTTGAAGCCTATTCCTTTCTCGCCAATGTAGCCTTGGGCACCTGTCTTCGAACTCTTTCCTACAGAGCATATAGCCACCAGGTTGTCATGATTAAAGCCATCTTCATTGCACTCCAGGACAATCTTGCGCGGATATACGCGGAACGAGACAAAAGGTACAGACCCCAAGGCCACAGCCTTTTCGAATTTGTTATCGTCTGCATTCTGCAACAGCTCGAAGACGAAACGGGCTTTGCTGGTGTACAGGTTCTTCGCCAGACTGTGCAACGCAGTCAGCATCCTCTATCGAAAGTTTGAGCAGGAAGTGGGTGCTCTTACGTTATGACAGTCGAGCCAATCATCAGGTCTTTCTTGAGGAAGGCTTCTTCAATCTCGCGGCGGAGATCTGGCTCGATCCTCCGTAGCTTCTCCTCGCCCAGGTAGCCATGATCCTTTGCAATCTGCTGCACGAGTTCTTTGGCGCTTTGGCGGTCGCGAGGAATAGCCATCTTAGGTAGTACGCCTGATAACAAAAGGAGACCAGCTCAATCGATCAGATTCAATGATAAGGTATGACAGTGTGATTTGCAGACAGCTCGGGCACTTAGGACAGGAGCAATTCCAAATCGATCGTCTTACGGATCTGGCATTCTAGAGGCCGGGGGAGTCGAGTATTTATGATTTATGATTAATCGGTTATTTGATAATTAAACAGCGAGAACCAACATGATGAGGCTGAGCCAACGTGCATTAATCCCTGCACCAACAGACCAACACCAACATGCTCGATGCCTCCAAGAGGCAACCCCACCGAGCATGGGCGCTGAACTACGCCCGCGCAAAGGTTGACCATACATGAGACGCTATCGATGTAGGGGGTGCAGGAGGGATTGTCTCAAGGATAAGCCGGGTGGGTGCCTCGTGGTTTGAATAGTCCTGTGCAGTTACCACTCTTCCACTGTCTCTAACCGCGGATGTCTGAAACACCATCACACCTCCGCCCCGCCGCTCACATGCAACCAGCCAGCACCGGCCCACATCGAGTCGCTACAGCGGCTACCGGATGCAATCCGCTCGGCAACAAAGAGTCCACTGCATAGTAGGTGATAGGGCACAGCCACTCAGGGGGCAGATCTGAGGAGCGGGCGACACGAGCGAGGGCTGCGCTGCACCGAGATGTACCGAAGAATGCCTTGAGTTCCAACGAGGGTAAAAGGTCGAGCGTATCTCGTAGGGCCCCTGAAACTGGCCCCGCGTCACGCTACGAGATCTTTAGCACAAGGCGACTAGAGGCTACGGGTATTATCCAGCTAGAATTAGTACCTGAATAGTCATTTCTCCACTGCCCGATTGGGACTACAGTTAAGCTCTTAGTGGTCAACTCGAATCGTGGGAGCAGGCCGCGAAATAGCTCAAAAGACGGCTCCGGATGGCCTATTGTTCTTGAAGACGCTAGGAGGATTAGTTTCTAGCTCCAGCAGTCAGCGAAGGGGATGGGGTTGAAGATCACTGTATGACTTTGAAAATGAAGTGCCGGGGAGACATCATGGAGAACTCTCGCTAGGCGTCAACCTTTGGTATGACTTTCTAGGTAGGCTGTAGCCTTGCCGCCCTAGGCGTGTCTTTTCATAGTTTAGAGGTTGATTATAACTACTTGGGAAAGGTCCAAAGTCGCTTTTAACATAATCATCTGATGTATGAAGGTATTGGCCCCGTTTCGGGCCATAAAGAAGCAGTCGCTGTTCAGTAAAAATGCTACTATTGCCGTTCGAGAACGGTGGCCGGCTTTGACCTCATACAGACAAACAGCCAAGACCTCCAAGAAACCTGATTTGTTTCTACTACATTTATCAGTGACAAGTGTCTCGCAGATTGCAGCACCTTCAACTACTTTCTCAGTAGATGGTTGGGAAACTCGTCGCTCGGTGGGTAAGGAGTAGACCTTCATTAATGCATCCTTAATCAGAGGTATCCATGCGGTATTCAACTCACACCAACATGGCGGGGAAGAAAGCGGCGTTTTGGCTGACCATTGAGGTTGGGGGCCGGACAGGATAATACGTTGCGTCGTGTCCAGCTTCAAGCCTCTTCAGCCGCAGATTACTAGCGGTGTATGCAGAACATAAGCGGAGGAAGTGAGAAATTATCTGCGCGACTGTGGGTCATAAATATGCAGCATGGCCTGCAAAGTGTACAGCTGCAGAAGCGTACAAACAAAAAATCCAAGTGAGGGGTTTGTAGTTATCGCATGTCAATCCTGACGCCTCTTGTCTGAATTCAACATCATGGCAACATTCGACCCGGAGCTGCCCCGGCGGTCGGACTCTGAGTCCCATGCGCCGTCGGGCCCGGACCCACCTACCGAACCACAACCCCCCAGGCGTCGCCGAAGCGCTCGTGTCTTCGCCGAGCCCGAACCTCTTGGAGGCTATGTACGTATATGCATCGTGCAGCTGACGAGCGTCACTCATGCTCTTTGTAGCCAAGCCATCGTGTAGGGCCAACTCGGCAAGACTCGTTTGGCCCGTCAATCCCGCAATCGCCGCCACTGGGGCCATATGCAGCCCGAGACTATCCCTCGGGACCTGGCATCGGTCCATCGTTCCCGCGTCGGCATGGACAAGTGCCTGTGCCAGATCCAGCGTACTATGGGCCGGTACCTTCAGGGTCATATGACTATGGCGGCAGCATAGCATACACGCCTCGCCGCCGCCCGACGTGGGAGGATAACCGTTATCGCGAGGAGGACCAGCGGCGCACCCGTGAGGACTTTATATTTGCTCTCATGGCTGCAGCTGAAGCTGCGAGGGGCGATCGAAGAAGGACGTCCAGATCACCGAAGCGCTCTCGCCGTCGTCGCTCTCGTTCAGTCTCTCCTTCCCCGGTTAGGCGGAGGCATGGCTATTACGGAGATGATTACAGCAGCCGATCGTCATCATCTGACGAGAGCACGTACTATGAAGAATCAGACGACGGATTTAACGCGACGATGTTTGAGTTTAAGCCATCTCGCGCATCCCGATCGACCGCCTCTGAGCATCTGGATGATTCGGATGACGAGCATGCCCCTGGTCGAGGTCGGAGGGAGTCTGCCGCAGATTCGAAGCTGGATCCTAGAATCTTGCATGTATTTCAGTCACAGTATACTGGAGATGCGTTCTTGGAAGGTACACACACTATATCCCTAACTGGATACCGGCCTGGCTCTGGTTCCGGATCCGCCCAGACAACGACAAATCACAGCAGGAGCGAGGATAAGCAACCATTGTTTCGATGGATGTACGTTTAGTGCTTTGGATTTTAGTTGTAGAAGCTGGCTTTTTTGCTAACACCTCTTTTAGGCATATTCGCCAGGAGATCATGAACTTCGACAGTCTTTCTGTAGGTGTGTCCCCTGTATCGCTATGTTCTGAGCTGAGAAGAAAAAGAACGATGTCACAAGCCTCACTGTGCTCTCTCAGTCGCAGCGCAACGGTCTCACTAAACTTCTCGCGGAGGTCAAGAAGAATTGCATCAAAACAAAGCAGACTTCGAAGGGGAACCATGTTAAATACATGGAGCCTCGTTTTATCCAGGTTCCAATCAAACCTGAAGCCTCCTCAGCCACCTCTTCTCAGAAACAGGCGCGCAACGTGTCATGGTTTAGCATACCTTACTTCTCGCTAGAACAGTATTCTGGCCTGCTCTCTGCAAGAGACCCGACGAATTTCCCGCCCCTAACACTGCTGCAAGCTCAGTACTCACGAACCGCACCACAGAGGGATATGGATCAGGTTGTCTGTCAACTGGATAAAGAGAGTGCTAATGACGGGAAATGCTTTCATATCGCACAATTGTGGTGCATTGTCGTGGATACAAGTAAGCAAGCCTAGGACGCCCTTCGCTGGCACATCAACAGAGCCATTTCACTAACCTAGTTGTACTATAGGCCTTCTCGTGACCTGTGGAACAATGTGGGCCAAGCCGCTGAAAGGCGAAGTTATCACCATTATACCTCCTGACCCACCGAGCTCCAATGGCGAAAGCGGCACAGGACTTGGGAGAATATACGTCTCCTATAGCGAGGCTGTATTGTGGTCTTTTCCCCTGAAAGACTGCAAAACATGGCTTGTAAGTTAATGCGCCCCTCTCCGCTCAAGGCGGCAGCTGCTAATGGGGATGGTGAATAGGACTTTCTCTCACACTTTTATGACTTCTGGCCTGAGGCAATTCAGTTCTTCCATCACGAGAAAAGTCTCTCGGAAGAAGATTGGAATAGAATTTACCACTTAGCCAGGCATTCCAGTTACAAAGTCATACTTACTCTAAAGCTTGCGTAAGTATTTTCGTGACGGGCAGACCTATACAAGTTGCTGATAGTCAGAATATAGACCCCGTCCGTCTCCTCCCCCGAGGGGTATACTGAAGGCTATTGAGGCAGAGGAGCCTAGCATCTCCGAAATACCAGAAGATAATCGACGTCGACGGCGATCCAGGAACCCGCCCCCAAAATCAGGGGAAGAGCGTCACTCGACCTCGCAGTTGAAACAGGACGACAAGTTCCACGTCTTTTCCTGGCTCGATAACGATTACAACTCCCCAGCGGATAACAACAGTCGTCAACCCATGCCTCAAATCACTTTCCCCACTCTGCAGGATATCAAGACGTACCTGATGGCAGAGACTAAGCCCACGGATAAGATAGCTTATAGAGATTGTCCAAAAGCCAACCGTCGGTCGCTCTTTGAGTATCTGCAGCAAGAGGGACTGAAAATAGAGGAACAGTCTGCCGAGGACCGAAAGAGAAAACAGCAGTATGAACAGAGGGTCGACATTCTCAATGCTGCCGATACTGTCTTCCAGTTCTATCTTCCAACAGGAGTCTATGCTCCGACCGCAACGAGATATTGGGGCGCTGTCAGGGCTTTGATTCAGGTATTTGCAACCTAGCCATTCTGGAAAGCTGTCAGAGTACCGCCTGCCATGGTGCACGCATTGAATCATGGTGGTTTGTATGGCGGATGACTGACAATGCTATATAGATGCCCTCTCCACAGAGACGTGAAGGCCACGACGAGGAAGATGATGAAGATGAAGACGAGATCGAGGACGTCAACGTCGCCGCAGCAAAGTCTCACGTTCCTACCGTGAGATCCATGATGAGAGATGCGGCAAGGCGATATCAACATATTCAGAATCTAATGTCTCAGGTTCAACCTGATAGTCGAGCCAGGATTGACATCCCAGACGGGCTCATCAAAGCGTGGATCCACACGCTCATGGGTCTCATCTATGCAACTCAGGACTCTCAGGTCTGGGAAGAGCATCTTGAAGAAGCAGCTCGGCTTGTATCGCATGGATTAGATGAAATGACTAACAGCTTGACTGGCCATGGAGGCTTGTTGAAACAGACTGTGATCTTACCCCTGGAAATCGTGTCTCTAGTGAGCATCAAGCTCCTTCAAGATGTGACTTATGGCGCGCCTAGCATCAGCGGAACATATTCTGAATATCTCGAGGCTCTTGTAAGTTGGCGTGATCAATCAAATACGGAAGGGATGGGACGAGGTTCATAGCTGACGCGTCTTGTCCAGGAAGCTGACATCACAACCAAGCCTTCGGATCGTCTAACGCAGCACAAGCTCAGTCTTCTGAAACAGGAAATTGCTGTGATCAAAAAGACTGTCGCATCGCAGACCAGCATATTTGCCGCAATCACCGCCTCGCTGCCGAGATGGCAATCAAGCTCCGGGAGAGATGTCACAATAACCACGATGCCTAATAGGCATAGCCACTCTAGGAGCAAAAGTCTCGCTGCCGGCGCTGAGATCCTTAATGATCGCAAGAGCTTCACTCCCGTTGCAAACAAAGGTAGTTATGTTTCACGTCTACCTGAAGAAACTGCAGGTCGGTGGCCCTCAGACTACGAGCACCGTGGCGAGTCGTACAATGACGAAGAGCGTTATTATGGCAGTCATCACCACCACCGTAGCCCAAGGATGGACACATCAGTTCTGGATCCAGATGAATTCTATAAGCTGTCGCCAACGCATCCCGGCGGCTTTAGGGAGTTGCTCGCAGTAGAGTGTGGCTCGTTTTTGGAAAGACGGATGCGAGACTTCGAGGAATATGACTATCATGCCTCAGTCCTGGAAGATACAGTAAGGCGACCCTCTTCATGCTGAAGAATAGTGCCCCTTTCCTTGAGCATTATCGGCTAACACATATCACAAAGAACGCCAACAAGATTGACACGACGAAGGACCGACAGGAGATGGCGATCTATGCATTTACGATCGTGACCATTATCTTCCTCCCGCTGAGCGCCGTTGCAGGCGTCTTCGGCATGAACACGGCCGATATTCGAGACATGAGCTTGAATCAGTGGGCTTACTGGGCGACCGCCGTTCCTGTCACCGTGGTTGTCATCATTCTGGGCTTGTGGTGGATGGGTGAGCTTGGCAATGCTCTTGCCTGGATTCTCAGACGCCCTGTCATGGGTGGAGGTGCTGTTGCGTCTGGCGCAGGAGCATATGCCATAATTCCTCCGTACGTCGCTCGTCCTCCGATGCCGCCGCCACCACCACCGCCGGCATACTGGGAGGGACCTGTCCCACTACCTCTACAGGCCGCTCCACGTCCAGCTGGCTACGCAGTGGCAAGGAGGCACCGGAGCTATTACGAACTTTGAACCCGGACGTGAGACACTTGATTAAGCACAGGTCACTAATTGGTTGTAAGTTTTGGCATCAGAGGACTTCAGAATTGGAGGAGTCTCAATATGGAGCGGTTGCTTTTGACAGATTGTTGTAGTCTCTTAACATTGTTACAAGACAAGTTAAAAATTGACCTAAAAGCGGCCATGAAGTAGTTAAAAGTTCTATGTATCTAGTTCGATAATTTTATGAGCCATGAAATGAAATGAACTGCGCTTGCTAATCTACTCGACTTCTCATTCCTCCTACCCAACCGGATGGAGCGGTTTCCGCCCATAGACGAAATACACGCCACAGTACGAGTGTATCCGCTTGTTCTTCAGATCGCTCCTCACATCCACCAGGAACTCGGCGAGTCGCTCCGGCGTCCAGCCCAGCACCCTTGTGAAGAGAGCCATGCTCATAGACTGGACGCCCTCGAGCAGGTTCTGGCAGGAGATCGCGCCAAGCAGCTTGTTCCGCTCGCCCTTGGGCCAGGTGTTGAACGCACACGAGGCATGCGTCTCGACGACGTCGACGAAGCCCACCTCGCGCATATAACGCCCCCAGTTGAGATTGTCGGTGATGTCCTTGCCGATACGCAGCATGCCCTCGACAAGTAAGCGGTTCCACTCTGCTAGTGCGGTGCCGTCTAGGCTGCCGTCATCGCACCGCATGGGAAGGCATGGGTCTTGCAGCTCGAAGTAGCCGCCGGGCTCGAGGTTGTCGAATATCCGCTGTACGATCCCCTTGCCGGTCTTCCAGGAACATGTCAGTAACGCACGGCCGTGGATGTAATCGAAGGGCTCATCAAATCCCCAATCCTCCTCTTCAGCATCACCAATCTCAAAGTGACAGTTCGCAGGAAGACTAACAAGCTCATCAGACAAGAGTCAAACAATTGTCATTGGTGGTTCATGTCACTTACAGGTCAGGCTGGATGGGGCTTAGATCAGTACCAATGACTTTCGTCTCGGTATGTTCTTGCGCTATGTCGCGGTCAGCGGGGAATTTTCCGAATGAAGTAATTCTCTGCGCATACCAAATTCAATAGCCCATATTCCAGTTCCTAAGGCAGAGACGTTGTTAGAATATCGAGAGACAAGGAGGCATTCCTGAAGTACCTGTCCCGACGTCTAATACCCTCCTCGGGTACTGTGCTATGGGTGCAATATGTAGGCGGCCATTCAGCATGATTTTAAATGAATGATGTTGAAGATCTTGAGAATGTTAGTTAGAAAGCATTGAACGATTGAGTATCTGTGACTGTACCAAGTCTCTCTTGTTCAGCCTCATCGTTCGGCAACATGTATTCTTATCACAGGTCAGTTTGGGCGCCCACAGCATTCGCGTTGATAGGAATTTGAGGTGATTCACTTACTGCCGGAGTTATATGCATGATATGTTCTCCCGTTTTCGGCGATATAATTGTAGATACTTGACCTCAGTGAGGTTGTAGAGTCCCTAGAAAGTGAACTGTCGTCAGCGGCTGCGCCGCGGCCAATGTGTGCTGTGGTCCGGCACCGTAGCACCCGCACGCGGGACCGTGACATGTCAGACGGAAGGGGTTGCCCGGCTTACTCGAAGGAGAAACCCAATCCCGAGTCGTTATCCGGATTCTATAAATTGAGTGAGCTACCCCCCCGGGGAGCCGCCATGCAGGGTCGCCTTTGGGGCCACTCACACTCGACGTGTCCGTGCTGATTTCGAGCGTCGCCGGCAGGTCGTCAATCTCCGACCCGGCGTGCGAGTCGGTGTCGAATGCCTCCTGCTGTGGCGTGTGCGCCATTGCTTGTCCCGATATGCGTCGCGCGGACGTGACGGCTTCAGTGACTGGAGACTGGGTCGTTGAACAGTCGTTTCACTATGAGTTCTTAGCTGTGTGGGTGTCGTTGGCGGACTGGCTCTAGTAAGCCCGGGTGAGGGAGAGCGAGCGAGCGATTGTTGTTGGTGACGGAAGGGAACGGGGCCATCGAACGGGCGCAACACATTCCGGGGCTCTTTTTGATGGCATGCGACATGCTAGCACCCCCCAAAACGCCGCCCGCCCAGCCTTTGGCAGATCTAGGCCGTCAGGGTTCCGCCCCCCGCACGTGGATCTAAAGGATGCTTGCCGCTGTGGCTTCGGCGTCTAGCTTCGATAGTTCGGGCAGACTTGGGCACTTTTGGGAAAAGTTTGTCTGTGACGAGGCATCATTCGCGCACTTGTCTCAGACGCTTTGGGACGGCCTTTGGGGTCGCTCGTTGATAGAGTTTAAACGCGATACCGGTAGTTGTCATCGGGGTCCTATCGAATACGATGGCCGGCAGCACACATGCACCGGAAGTAGGACGCGCAATTACAAGAAATAGGACCACATATCAGAAGAGAATCTAGGAGTCGATCGACGCTCCAGCACGTGAACACGATGCAATATGTTCCTTGGATAATCTTGTCTCAATAGCTGCTATACTTGTCGCTTGCCTCTGGCCCTGCAGGACCTAAGCGCATCATGGGTGAAGTTGCCGATGATAAATATACCATATTATTTTCCCATCAGGCCAGTCGAATGTGGGGGTTCACTCTGTAGACCAGACCACAGTGCTTGTCGGGAGCAGCTCTTCAGATCAAAAATGATGCCCTCGTTATTTCGAACTCGCGGCCCCGGCTCGAATTATTTGATATTGCTTTAATCTTGCTGGATATCACTGGTTTGTTTTGGGAAAGGATTCTCGCAGCAAGCTGTTCAGCTGATCGCTCGGCAAAGATTACCTACCCACAGATGATTATACAAAAATGACTAGCGCACACTCAAATTCACAGACCGCAATAGCAACCTCGATGTGAAGAGAGGTAGTGATTGGAACATCTATCCGGTTGTTTCTCCCACGATAATTACACCGTACAGGCTTCTTACTTCGTCTGGCTTTGGTGGTATTAAATATAGATCTTACCCTTAAGTGCTGTTCCGGGGTGCGCCTGTGCTCTTCGCCAACTTTGCGACCAGGCTGAGAAGCGCCTCGCTTTAGTCTAAAATTGCAGTGTATCATTTGAGCCTCATGTTCGTTTCCCCTTTGATAGGGCTGGCAGTTGGGCTCCTTGTTGGTTCAGCTCGCGGTGTACTTTGCAGCGCGCCCAATGGCTGAATCAGCGGTCGGCGCCGGGGCTTATGTCGGCTTCAATGTTGTGCTATCAGCTTCGGGACCAGTGCCCTCCGTGGCTTGTTTACGTACATTCCGGGCGACGATCTTAGTGAGCGCTGAAAAATCGGCACGATCGTAGTAATTTCAGTTCAAATATACAAAGCCGTCAATGGGCACGCATCGGTTTGAGTATCCTGTTCCTTATATCTAGTATCTAAAGAGCATTTCAAGCTTCTGAAGCTCTTCAATTGATCCCGACACACTATCGGGGGAGACGCGACAAGGCTTTGCGCATGCCGGGAAGTCCGGAAGCCGGTGTTCCAGACTTGGCATTCCGTCACCATGCCGGACGCTGTCGATTCTTCATCTGAAGAACGGCAGAAGAGGCCCGAAGGCGCTCGCCCGGAAGTATCGTCAGAGAGATCAGAGACTCTGAGAAATCGCTCTGTCAGCAAGATCGACGATGAACCTGCAAAGCCAGAACAGAAGCCCGGCATCCTGGCCAAGATGGGGCTTGATGTGCCAACTATATCGATGATGTTCAAGTTAGTATCTCTTCATTATGCTTAAATTCAAAGCCCTTTTGATAGATTTTGAGTTGTTAATAGCTATGTAGGGGCTCTCTACCACCCATAATATGCATCTCTATCTACCAGGCCAATGCTATCTCAAGCATCGCCCCGACTCTGGGCTATCTGATGCCAATCATTAGCGTCCTATCATTAGCCATCTTGCCCCGTGGCAAGTACATGCAGAACCTGTTATTGAATACCATGATGGCCTGTATCGGGGCTGCCATCGCTATGTTGGTCCTGTGGTCTGCCGTCCAGGCACGCGCTCACACGTCCAACCTAGCAGATGTTCCTGCTGTTGTCCAGGCCACCGGCAGGCCCCCCTACAACTCTAGCCAGAGCGCTGTTTGCGGCGTGTGGCTCTTTGCGAACATTTGGTTTGTCAATGTGCTCCGAGCCAAGATGCCCAGCTTCAACCTCCCGGTCATTCTATATAGCATCATGGTCAATGTTTCTGCCACGTTCGGTACCATCATGGTGACTACAGCACAGGCGGAGGCCTTCGTCAAACAACTCCTGACCATTGTGCTCATGGGAATAGCCTTTGCGACCGGCGTTTCGTTCTTCATATTCCCCGTCAGCAGCAGGATGGTCGTAACCGGGGAGATGAAGGGCCTGTTGGGCCTCTTCCGCAAGGCGGTGATGCTGCAGAAGGAATACCTCCAGGGCCTAGAGAGAGAGGACATGTTTGCGCTCGAGCTGACAGAGACCGCTGCTGGCCCGAAGTTCAAGCAGCAGAAGAAGAACAAGAAACGGAAGGGCAAGGACGGCCATGATGACGAGGAATTGGTTTTGACGAAGGAGGCCAAATCGGCACAGGCCCTGCGCGAAACCATCTCTCAGATAAGAGAACTTGCTGGCAAGCTCCATGGTGACATGAAGTTCGCAAAGAGAGACACGGCCTGGGGAAAACTGGCTGCTCATGATCTGGGCGAGATATTTGGTCTGATGCGTAAGATCCTGATACCAATGTGAGCGCCGAATCGACATGCAATTGACTCTGAACCATGCTAATTAGCTTATAGAACTGGACTGAGCACTATCATGGACATCTTCAAACGAGTCGCCGATACACGTGGGTGGAATAATGCTGACCCGGACACGCCAGTCGAAGTACTCGCGGCTAAGGAGAAAGAGCAGCGAGTGTGGAACGAAGTGATGAGACAACTCCACGAGCCATTTGATATCCTGTCCCAGGCTATTGACCAAGGACTTGAACATGCTGGAATTGTACTCGAGTTCCTCCCGCGTCCGAAGGAGCAGCAGAAGGCTGCAGCCCAGACATCGGATGGATCTCAGCCAGATGTCGAGGCGCAGGGTGATGATGTCCGTCCTGGGCAGCCCGATTTCGTCAAAGTGATGGACGAGAAAGTCCGACTGTTCCACTCCAAACGGGGCGAGATCCTCGGTACTTGGGCTCGGGAGAAAGGATTGACATATGACGGCGATCTGAAGAATATCGATCCTGGCTGCAACCTCTTCAATGACTCCAGAGAACGAGATCAGGCACAGCTCTACGTGATTCTCTACATGGAGCAATTGGTAAGTCGCACTCGCTTCACTGCTGCGATTCTAATGTCTTCTGTTGTATTCTGATTTGCTTTTTGCGTTAGATGCAAGCCACCGGCGAAGCAGTTCAAGACCTCGTTGAGTTCGCCGATAGTAAGGTTGCAGATGGGACAATGAAGAAGAAGCGTCTCATATTCCCCAACAAACGTCGCATGAAAAAATGGCTCATGAGTATCTTCAAGGATGAAGATTCTACGGCCGAAGAAACCCCTGACGTCCTAGAAAGAGGAGCTAATGTTGTCTTCATGGGCGACGGCTTTGGCAAGAAAAAGGATCCAGAGCATCTTCCGGCAAATAGTGCATGGCAGCACTTTGGGAATGGGCTTAGACAGGTATCGAGATTCTTCGGGTCTGAAGAGTCTGCTTTTGGCTTTCGAGTCGCTTGTGCTACGATGACCGTCGGCATTGTAGCCTTCCTCGAGCAAACACAAGACTTCTTCATTAAGCAGCGACTTGTATGGGCCATGATTATAATTGCCATTGGCATGACACAGAGTGAGTCCTTCCGACGGATACATATATCTAGAAATGCTAACTTAAGTTCAGCCTCGGGTCAGTCTATTTTCGGCTTCTTCTGCCGCGTTGGAGGCACATTGCTGGCCATGATTCTGTCCTTTATTATCTGGTATATTGTCGACGAGAAATTGCCGGGAGTTATCGTCATTCTTTGGCTGTTCCTCTTCCTGTCGTACTACTTCTTCATTAAGTTTCCGCGCTTTATTCCAGGGATCATGATCTGCATCGTCACACAAGTCCTCATCATCGGCTATGAACTGCAAGTGAAGACTATCGGCATTGCAGCAGCAGCACAGAGCGGGCAGCCCTATTATCCGTGCGTATAAACATTCATTCGAGAGAGTCTTCATCCTTGCTGACTTAACATCGTAGAACCTACGAGCTTGCGCCGTATCGTCTCGCCACAGTCGCGGGTGGCTGCCTTGTTGCCTTTTTCTGGACGATCTTCCCGAGCCCTTTGACGGACCGGACGTGGATACGGCGTGACCTGAGTGCCGTGATGTACCTACTGGCCAATTATTTCAGCGTCATCAATGAAACAATGAAGGCGATGATTAACGAAACTGGCGGCGATATCGAAGTCAAAGATTCGCCTGCCAACAGGTTGCGGAGGATTCGACAGAAGCTCTTTGGCAAACTAACGCTTCTCCTGCCATCCCTTCAGGCGCATGCCGGGTTCCAGAAGTTTGAGCCTGATATTGGTGGAAAGTTTCCCAGAGCGGCATATGAAGAGATCATCTTGAGATCTACTCGGTACGTGCTTATCAATATACGCATCTCAATTTTCTAAAAGATCAGCGTCTGACTTTCCTAGAATAATGAACTACCTCACCTTGATGTCCTACACTCTCACATGGAGACCAAGGGCAGATCAAGAGTCTCCCAACAACGAGTGGCTGCGGGCCTTGAAGGAGGTCCTGAACAACATCTCACCGACCCATCACACGATCCTGTCAACGCTGACGCTCATCTCCAACTCGCTGCAATCGGGCCAGTCGCTGCCCCCTTTCCTGCCGCTGCCGAAACCCTACGAGTTGACTAAGCAGCTGCTGAAGGTGGGCGATGGCGCACATATTTCCAGTGCGTCCAGCATGGTTGGCGGGAAGCCAGGCGAAGGGCCCGTGCATATCTTGGATGCTAGGAACGCCCAGCAGCGTGGATACACGGAATTTGCTGTGATACAGGTGTGTGGAACGCTGGCTATCGCGGACATTGAGGGACTAGTGGCTGCCGTGAAGAGCCTGGTGGGCGTGGTTGACTTCAGCTTCCGGGTGGACACGAGCGAGAGCAGTGTTGAGAGCATGGGAGATGACTCTCAGTTTACCGAGGATGGAAAGGGCAAGGGAAAGGTCGACTGATCAGCCTTTTGGGCAAGAGCAGACACTTCTTGCCTCCCGACCGACCGGAGCTCTCTCTTGTCATGTTGGCATTGTAACAAGGCACCATCGCGGCTTCCAACCCGGGGTTGACCCCATGATACATAAGAAGCAGCCCAAATGTCGCTGAGTCAACCAGAGCGTTTCTACAAACGACACGCGGCTCACGCTCCTTGTCATAATACATCAACAGACTACGAGCCTCAACCAATTCAAAAAATATCCCGTGACGGCATATTTCAAACGGAGCACATCTCTCTGCCGGAGTCGCTACTCGAACTCAGGGTCTTACTACAAGTACGCTCGAGCAATAGCCCTCGGATAGGGCTAGCTAGGTCATCGGCATCTTAACTCCAAAAGTGCATGTTAGCACGCTGGTGAAGTCAGATATCAACTCAGAATGTTCCAATTCCTCCTCTTGGTCGTCATCGAACTCATCACCATGATCGTCTTCCGCTGGACGAATCAGCGGCGACGTCGCAGGGTCATCAAAGACAGAGTTTGACCTCTCGCTCAGCTGCGTCGCATCTCGCTTGAACCACATTATGGAGTGTTGTTAGGTCGGCATTGGGGGGAGGTCACTTGGGGCATGCAGCACCGTATTGTGTCTTGGACAATGAGTTCAGGGATTGGAGAGCATATCTATTTGTCTGGTAAACTACTATCACGACAAAGGAGTCGTCATGGCAGTAGGGTTGCATTCTTCGACTCTTCACTCTAGAAGCGTCACCAACATGCTTCCTTGGGCAGACTAGTCCCAGCATAGAAGCCTCGCAGTGGGATATGCTGGCACTTACAGAATCGTGCGCTTTGCGAATAGTAAAAAGCCCTGGTTATATTGAGAAGCTAGCAAACTACCAATGACCAATGAACATAAGCACGAGGCTGTATCGGTGCGTCTGGCTGTCGGTACCAGTTTTTCTACCACAGCCAGAGCCTGCTGGATTGTCTTTTACCTGCAGCGCCCAGAAAACATTCAGTCAAGTTTACGAAAGAGCCTTGCTGAGGTGATTAGGTTTGGATTGAGAGCGTATCTCGAATTGGCTGTTCGACAGCGTTCGCTTAGAGCCTCTAGGCGGTAATAAAGGCACGCTTCGTCATGGCACAGGTTACGCCCGGAGTGTGTGTGACTGAGCTGCGTGCTGCAAGTCAGTACATGCTGCATATCTGACGTGCAGCCGGATCCTCCGAGGCTGACATAGACACAACCCCATGATCTAGTATTGAGACACACGCGACGCGAACCACCCCACCACCCTGATGAGTAAGTTCGCCAATTCGTGTGCATCTAAGGCCATACCGATACGGAACTTTAGGTAAGCGTATAGGAAAACATGGGCCTATCCCGGTCCCTTATTGTCGAGCGACCGTGGCAATTGTGTGCGCGTTGCTGCGTTCTCATCAGTGCTCCTATATGGCTTGGGACCCTCTCGCATCGGCAGTTAAAGCGCATCGCGATCAGTTCAGTCAACAGGCCTTTGTGCATGGGATAAAAGGTTGCAGTCGGGAGCTACGGAACCCCCAGCTTCCCGACCTAACCACGGAGGCTTTAGCGAGGCGGGACCGGCACGCTCAGGGGTAGCTCGGGGTCTGCTTACAATGCTCAGGCCTCGAGCTCAGGGTAATTTGTCGCGCGATCATGTACAGTATGTGTACAGATTAAGTCTGAGCAGTCAAGAGCGTTTGAGCTTGCCAGAGGCATGGCGCCACTTTAGGTATTCGTAAAGACAGTGCTTTGCATTTCGACACCTCGGTTGCGTAGTGGAGCATCATGAATTCTCTCATAGTCCATACACGTGTAGTTTGAGGAAAAACTGCACCACGAGTTGGCTGCCAAACACATGGTTGCGCATTGCATGCCAGTTGAAGGTCTCGCAAGCTCTAGATGGCCGGGCTGGCTAGATGTTGATCAGCTGCTCCGAGACAGTGATGATTGGCGTCGATTGCCACCCCCCTCCCCCTTTCCGGCACGTAGGGTCGTAGACTCGTAGGGGCGTAGAGTAGCTTTGAGGGAGCCTGCCGAGCCCTGCCAACCTGCCAGCGGTGGGGGATTATCAGCTCGCGCAAGCTTATGCGCCCCCTCCTACACAACAGCCGAGATGATCATCCACGGGCAGAAAGGGGAGAGCTGGAGCCCGACTTTTTGCCTGACAAACGGCGGCCGGGCCACTCGGATGACAGGAGGAGTGGTGGAGTGACAGAGTGACAGGGCCTGCAAGGCTCGCAGGGGGAAACCGCTCAGGACGCGCCAAATTTTAAAAGGGTGGATTAGTGGCATTGGGTTAAGTGCGAGGTACCCGTGCCGTGATGGATCGCGCGCGGTGGTAGCGGAATGGTGAGCCCTCCACCCATTCACTAACACTGGGGAAGCTCGGTGGACTAGGCTAGCCGTCAAACACACTCAAATTTCCTGATCCTCCCGCGCCGCACCCTCAGTCCGTCCGTCAGTTAGTTGGTGCAGTGGTGACATGCTTTTTTAGTTTTCTAATCTCTCCCTCTTCTCTCTATCTACCCTTCTTCCCATTCCTCTCCTTTCGTGCCTTTCCTCTCCTTCATCGTGGTCTTGTCTCTTGCTTCTCGCGCGTTCAATTTCCCTTGGGACTTCCCTTGGGACGGGAGGCTACAGAGAGGAGAGAGATTGCATCAGAGTCTCTGTCCGCCTCGACAATCGCCCGTTGTTCTGCTCCGACTCGACCGGTGTAACGAAGAAAGAAAAAAAAGCAGCTCCTATTGCCCCTTGCAGTAGGCCCAGCGCTTCCCATTCGCCGCGCCGCTTGCACACCAACAGCGCACCGTCCAACGGCAGCCCTCCAAACGCCTTTTCACAAGCTGACAGCACGCCTCAATTCAATTGTCCAGCTGTTCCTGAGCCTGGTGGTGGTGTTTTGACTGAATGTACGTTCGCAGCTCAATTGACTTTGCAGCGCAGCCTTTCTGGCTCTGCAGTTCCCGTGGCGCAGTGTACACCGTCTCGCCCATTTCCGGTCCTGCCGGAAATTGCTAGAGAGGCTTTTTGGCGGTGTCGCTCTGCCGCTGCTGCAGATCTAGTTCTGCGCCACTCCTTTCAACCCCATCAACACCCATCAGATCATATCGAATTCGTTATGCTTGTTGACCGACATTCATCTTGAGAGCGTCTTTGGCTAATTGATCCAGTCTTCGAGCACGGAATAGATTTTACGAGCCGGTGTCGAGATTGAAGTGTACCGACACATTGGTTACCAACTGTCCTTCGAAGCAGTCTTTCGCACGCGCCGCCCTAGAGATGCCGCGCAAGCTTTCGAATCCGTTCTCGAGTCTTTCAAGCATGCCACAGTCTGAGAAAACGGGGGAGCGTCGGCCCTCCCAATCAAAAGGCAATCGCCTCTCTGGATTCTTCTCCTCGTCGCCCAAGAACAAGGACCACCCCTCGGCCCGACAGGCGCTCCAAGCCATGCAGCAACAGGGTGGCTCTTCGCCTCAAATCACCTCTCCATCATTATCGCTGCCCTCCATCTCCCTGTCCACTGCCACGGCTGGAGAGCCCAACAGCGATGAGCTGCCCACTACCTTGTTCCAACCTCCATCGGCTGCCGAGAACGAGAAGCAGAGGCGATTTGACGCGCAGTTCGGCCCCTTGATCGACCCTAGCCACAGATATGTCAGCAAGCATACCGGAGAGCCTCTTGAAGCCCCAATCGAGGACGAACCGCCCTACTTCTTTGTCTTCACAACCTACATCAGCTACCTGCTCCTCATCGCCCTGGGTCACACCAGGGATTTCTTTGGAAAGAGGTTCGGCAACCAGAAGCATTACCGCAGCTTGAAAGCACAGAATGGCTACGCTCCCCTGAACGAAGATTTTGATAACTTCTACGTCCGAAGACTGAAGCTGAGAATTGACGATTGCTTTGCCCGACCGACTACTGGCGTTCCCGGTCGATACATCACCCTCATCGATCGCAAGTCTGATGATTTCAACCGAACCTATCAGTTTACTGGAACCTACACCGAAACCCTGAATATGAGCTCCTACAACTACCTCGGCTTTGCGCAGTCCGAGGGCCCATGCGCAGATGCTGTCGAGGAGTGTGTGCGCAAGTATGGACTCAGCTCTTGTGGTCCACGAGGTGATGCTGGTACTCTTGACCTGACGTTGGAGGTCGAGCGCGAGATTGCCGAGTTCGTTGGCAAGCCTGCTGCCATGGTTTTCTCTATGGGTTTCGTCACCAATGCCAGTTCCTTCCCCGCTTTCGTCTCCAAGGGCTGTCTCATCATCTCCGATGAGCTCAACCATGCGTCCATCCGAATTGGCGCTCGTCTGTCTGGCGCCGTCATCCAGTCGTTCAAGCACAATGACATGGCCGACTTGGAGAAGAAGCTGAGGGAAGCTATCTCCCAGGGTCAACCGCGCACTCACCGTCCTTGGAAGAAGATTCTTGTTGCTGTCGAAGGTCTCTACTCCATGGAAGGAACCATGTGTGATCTCCCACGCATAGTCGAATTGAAGAAGAGATACAAGTTCTACCTCTATGTCGACGAGGCTCACTCCATTGGCGCCCTGGGCCCAAGAGGACGCGGTGTTTGCGACTACTTTGGCATTGATACTTCCGAGATCGACATCCTTATGGGTACTTTGACAAAGTCCTTTGGTGCTAATGGAGGATACGTCGCCGCGGACAAGCACGTCATTGACAAGCTTAGAAGCATCAACGCTGCCGCACTCTATGCCGAATCTCCTGCCCCATCCGTCTTGATGCAAATCTTGTCCTCACTCAAGATCATTGCTGGCGAGCTCGTTCCTGGCCAGGGTGAGGAGCGTCTGCAGAGAATTGCTTTCAACTCTCGATACCTCCGTTTGGGCTTGAAGCGCCTCGGCTACATTGTCTACGGCCATGACGACTCTCCGATTATTCCCATCATGCTGTACAACCCCGGTAGGATCCCCGCCTTCAGCCACGAAATGCTCAGACGCGGTATCTCTGTCGTGGTGGTCGGCTACCCTGCCACTCCACTGATCACATCTCGCGCTCGTTTCTGCATCTCGTCGGCACACAACAAGGACGACCTTGACCGTCTCCTGCGGGCGTGTGAGGAGGTCGGTGATAGAATGCAGATCAGATTCTCGACTGGCGTTGCGGGCGGCCTCGATCCCCTACCCGAGGGCGTCACACCCGAGATGGAGCAAGAGTGGCGCAAGGCCAACGGCCTGGAGGGTGTCATCAAGCCGCCCCGCTGGAAGGTCGAGGATGTCATTGCCCGCGGTGCACAGGACGTCCAGCTACCTCTGAGGTAATCGGGGTTATTGTCACATCAACTGGATTCATTTTTCCGCAAAGAGTGTATGTATAGAAACGGTACGGAGTTGCACGGGAAAGGCGCACGATTTGGAAGAGTCATTGCAAGACCACGGACAGACGGAGGCAATGTATTTTTCACTGCCGGCTGTTTCTTCACTTCTACGGCCCATGCTCGATCGCATTGTGCAGGCGGATGTGTGTGCTGGATAACCTAATGTCTTAATGGGCCAAAGGTGTAAATATAGGAAGGGGGATGGGGAGATGACGGAGGAAGCACTGCTGCACAAACTGCTGTTCGAGGCCTGGGCCACCTATTAATTTGTCATCCCATAGCATATTGGAGTTGAGGCATGGAGGTGATAGAACCCATCAATCGCTAGGAGACGCCTGGACTCCTGTAAACAAATCAGTAGCATAGAATCTTTTCAATGATCAGTCAATGTATTGGATCGTGAACCTTGTGCCGCCAACTCATCTGCCTTGTGACACTTCAAGATATCGGTTTGTAGCCTACCTGAACCGAGAACACATTTAACGGTGCTTTACAAATATCTTTTGGATGAGCTACTCTGTCACCGTCACCGTCACCAACTTACAATTGTAAGTATGAGTCGGAGGCGCTACGCTCAGCCTGCAGCAGTTTTTTGCCACGTGGGATGGGCTCGGCTGCCTTACCTAACCCACTAACGAAACTTTTTTTAAAGTGAGACGCGGTCTTGCCTTTCAGACGCGTTCAGTGGTTACCTCATCATTGATTACCCAACGTATCATTAAACCCCTGGGGGACAAGCAAAGGCGGCACCGGGAACTGCATGAAACAGCTACAGTCTGCGATGCATTCTGAAAAAAGATTCTGAGGAAATCGTGATACTTTTTTGATCTTTTCTGAGTCTAACTCTTGCAGTTTCGGAGAGTTGAACCACACTCAGCCTACGGGCATTTATTAGCTCGTGGGGCTGCCAAAACGACCGCATCTCTCCCCTCCTCCCGGGTTGCCGAAGCGACAACTTACAAACAGCAGTCTTCATCTGCGGGTACTATTCGTGAAGCGCCTGCTTCTAAATACCGTGGAAAATGCCGCCATCCACGCGCAAGCGAAAGCGCCAGCAGAGCAGGCTCACCTTTGAGCCGGTTGGAGACGGTACCTCGTCGCCAGGCCACTTCTCGCCTGCCAAAGTCAGGTACGAGGCAAACGGCAAGCATCCGTCTCCCGCCAGTTCCGCGAAGCCGTCTCAGCGTCCCGGGCGCAAGTCAAAGAGGCAGCAGCAGACCCTGGACGTTTCTCTCAGTATGTCGTCAGCTTTTCCTGGTGTTCAGTCTCTCTTTTGTCGCATCACCTCATTATATGCATGCACATATTAACGGTCTTGTAGGACCTCGAGAGGAGTCAAGTCCGCGGGTAGATGCGCCCAGCGATGACTCGCTGCCCGTTTTCAGCTCCTCTGCCGGCATCCGCTCAAGCGGTGACCGCCGGCCTCCTCCGTCATCGTTCATGCCACGGTCACGTACTGCTGGTAGGGCTACTATAGTGCGACTTGGCGATGACTCGTCGGACTCGGCTGAAGAGGACAACGAAGTCGACAGTGACCATACGCCTCGTAAGCAGGGAGTCCCTAGGCAAGCTAGCAGTCCCGCCAGCGCTAAATCCAAGGACGTTATCGTTATCCACGATGACGACGAGGATAGTGATGAGGATGAGGACGAGGACGATGACCTGCCGCTGTTGCCTAGCTCCACTCAACGGCGACGCCCTGTTCTGCCAGTTGACGATGATGAGTCGAGTGAGGAAGATGTAGTGCAAAGCCCGGCGAAGAAGCGGCGAATAGCACGCCAACCTGTGGTTGATTCTGACGGCTCGGATGGCTCAGACAACGACGTGGTAGCGTCATCTAGGCCCAGACGCATTGCCGCGAGAAGATCAACATCTAGCGCGGCTGAATCGTCGCCAACGCCTGCTGCGCCAGTCGACACGCCTGGTAGACGTCAGGCTCGCAAGGGCCACCGCACCGCGAAGCAGAAACAGATGGAGCTTCTTCGACGTCGCAGAGCAGGCGAAGATATCGACAAGCTTACGTCGTCATCAGAGGACGACGAGGATCAGGGCGGCCTCTATGATACTGACTCTGACCTCGTTGCGCTTTCCGAATTCGAGGATGATGAGGAGCCGGACCAGGAATCAGAAGAGGAGCCGCCTGTTTCCCGCGGAAAGAAGTCTTCCAAGATCTCGTTGAAGAAATCCAACAAAGCTCTTCGAAGAGATGATAGGCAGAACTCCGTGGATAACAGTAACGAAAGTGATTTGGATGATTTTGTGGTGGAAGACGACGAGGGCCCGATCGGCGTACCTGACCATCTTCTCGAGATACCTCTGCAGTTTACAGCTCATGCACACAAGCCCCTAAAGGAACACTTCAAGGATGTCATAGAATGGCTAGTGCACCGCCGAATTAACCCATCGTTTGACCGCGAGAATCAAGTTTACCGCATAGCGTGGGGTAAACTTAATGATGAAGTCAGCGGCCTTGCTCAGTCGAAGTTTGCGTCTTCTGCCTGGCGTCCGGATTTTATTCGAACTATGCGAGCTCGACCGCGCATCCTGCAGGCAGAGTTGCCACCTGGGCATCTGAGTGAATTACACGGCACATGTGATGCCTGCGGCCGAAGCAACCACCCAGCGAGTTGGGTGATTAGCTTCGCGGGCAGCCCCTACGATAAAGACACATTGGACGATCTCGAAAGCGACGACGAGGACGAGGATGATGATGAGGATGGCGAGGGGCACGTGGATTACGATGAGAACGGCAACAGGCTGCCGCCCGAGAGCAAGGAGTGGTTCGTCGGCGCGACGTGCAACAGCAATGCCGAGACGGCACACAACCTCATGCACTGGAAGTACGCGTTGATGGACTACGTCGAGAGCCGCCTACGGGACGAGGGCTGGCTGGACGGCCAGAAGTTGGAGGAGCGGGAGCGGATGAAGCCCAAGAAGAGGCGCAAGCTGGCGGATGGCATTGTGGATGACTGGGAGCGTAGACTTCTCATCAAGCACTTGTACGGCGACTTCAAGAGTACTTTGGAGCTCGCCCGTGCCAAGTCTACTGTCGTTCGACCTGGTCGCAGACGATAAACTCAGGAGTGCGGATTCGAGAGCGTGCTTTGCTTGGGCTTGGTGCTTGGCATTTTGGCAGACAATTTACGAGCGGCTGTTTCTGGACGATGAGAGATACCCCGGCTATGGTTGTTATATATTCTGTAGGATTCTATAAACGATATTCAACCCATTAACGCCAGTATGAGTGGGAGCCTCTGTGTGATTGACCTCACAAGGCTCCCGATTTTGCATCGCCCAGCAGTCAAGAATCCGGTGCTATCAAATTCTGTAATGCTCGCCAACCCCTAGCTGCCCCTGATCGACTAACAACCATCAACTAGCCGTGCCGCGTGAATAGGCGGACATTCCGAATTGATCAGGCAAGGGAAGATGCCGATAGGCAGACGGAGCTTCTCATACGGGTGTTGAGGTAAGCATCATTACTGCTGCAGTCCCCAATAGGCAAAACCCCATCGAATGTCTTCAAGGTCCTTGATTAAGTATTACAATCAGCATTAGTATATCTTTTACGCTACAGCCAACTGCCTCCCTTATAAGACAGAGGTTCGTGGGATGACTGTCACACAAGCAAGTCGGTCCGTGCTTGAAGTTGATATTCCGGAGGTGTGAGGCGAGCCTTGGCATCAGCAGAACATTGCAGCTCGCGATCCTGGGCTGTCAAGGGAAGGTAACCCACCACTCGAACGAATTGCACTTTCTAGCCGATAGGAACACAATGAAGTCCCATGCTCCGAGGACGACACATGCGGAGAAAATAGGGTTACTTGTATTATGCATAATATGCGGGGAAGAGCAGAACCAGCTGATCGATCGCTGACCACATTACTAAGTAGGTATGACTTACACCCCGTTTCGGCGGCTCGCCGAAGTCATCCGCTCCGCAACGCCGTGGAGGTTAAGACTCAAGCAGGGATCGACAATGCACACGAGATGTCAGCTCTCGCCCTACACATATTAATCTGGACAAAGCTCAGCTAGGTGGATATCATGTCCGGCATAGCCCCGGCCCTGTTTATTTCTTGTCTCTTTTGCTTATCCTCGGCAGCCAGAAATAGCGAATGGCTGTCGAGGAACCGCAGAACGAGCCGATGACGCCAGGCACGTTGCACATGGAGGCTGCTGCTTATATCCAGAGTACCGCAGCAAAATGGACACGAGATCTTAGCGGCCGCGGTTGATGATCGTTATGAGGTCCATGAGAGACGTTGGTTTATAAGTTCAGACGGTGCTCGCTTTGCGAACTTGCTTGTATATTTGCCTTTTCCATATTCAGGGGCTGCATTTTCAGATCGATAATTGCAAGATGCGTTCCTCACTTCTTTTCCAAGCCCTTGCAGTCGCGAGCAGCATCGCCGGCTCTCGTGCCGCACCATCTCCCGGCTGCTCAAGTGATGGGGACTTTGTTCCGGGCTCGACCGTTAATGTGACAGTCGGCAAAGATCGATACTACCTGCTATACATCCCCGTCAACTACGACCCCGAGGAGCCGGCACCGCTTATTTTGTCATTCCATGGTGGTTCACGCATAGCAGAGGAACAGCTGCGTCTCGACAATCTGACGTCGACAACCTTTAACAAGGACTACATCGTGGCGTATCCCAATGGCGTTGATGTAAGTACAACCCTTTTGACTAATCGCCCCTGAGAACCTACCAGCTGATCATATGCCTGTCTGTCCGCCACAGAAAACATGGTACGGCGTACCCAACGTGACGACCAATGACAAGGGCTTCACGACGACCATCATCGACGAAATCTCCGCGTCCTACTGCGTCGACACCTCGCGCATCTTTGCGACCGGCAAGTCGCAGGGCGGCGGCTTCGTCGGCCAGCTGGCGTGCGACAGGACCTTGTCCCAGCGCATCGCGGCCTTCGCGCCCGTCTCGGCCGCCTTCTACGTCAGCGCGCCGCACTTCGGCGACACCTGCCACGCCGCGACAGTCAACATCACGCCGTGCGACCCCGGGCGGCCCGTGCCCATCATCGACTTCCACGGCGGCGCGGACGGCACGATCCGCTACACGGGCGGCGCGCGCAAGGGCGGCTGCCTGCCCACGATCCCGCACTGGGTGCGCACGTGGGCCGGCTACGACGGGCTGAGCAAGAAGAACGTGTCGCGGCCGCTGACGGACGAGGGCGCGGTGCTGTACGAGTGGGGGGCGGCGGAGGGCAAAAGGGGGTTCGTCACGCATGTCTTCTCCGGGCCGGACGTTGACCACTCGTGGCCGTCGATCTTCGACAACCCGGACAATATCCTGCATGAGGATGGCCCGGCGTCGTTCAATGCGACGACGATGATTTTGGAGTTCTTTGAGAAATACCCGCTGCCATAGGGGAGGGTAGGAGCATCGGAATAGACACGATAGGGGAGATTGGGAAAATGAGCAGAGCATTCTGATTGCGCACCTTGAAGTGATGAATGTGCATAGCCGCAACATGTGTCTTGATATAGCAAAACAAGTTAAAAAATCAGAGAATTCTCAGATTCTCACACTCTAGTGAAAGCTTGAAGCTAGATTAAGAAGATGTCTGGGTGGCCCAGACAGATACTTCACTTGAAGCATTTTAAAAATGTCATCTTCAGTCTATGGATTCTGTAATTACTCGCCCTTGTGTAAGTCAAGCATGACTCCTACATAGACTCTGGCACTGGCTACTGAAAACGTGGGGTGTAAGGTCTGTCCCATGACTTTGTATAAAATGTTTTGATTTAAGACTCAGGGTTTTCTCAGGGGGAAGAATCAACAGCTCTTTGCATGCATACATACTTCAACTTGAAGATACACTGCAAAGATGGCACGGCCTAACATCTTGCAATACACGCAGAACGGACATAGCCCAGAGATGACTTCAAATATATATATATACTCCCTAATGAATCATCCCGAACCTCCGAAACTCTCACCACAATCAATGGATGGCACAGTCGATCTCACTCCCGCCCGCAGCTGCACGCACAGCACGGTCCATGCGCTCGCAGCACACGACCGTCAATTGTGCAGACAGACGGGAACGGGAACGGGCAGGCCGAGCGCAGCCCAGGCCCCGGGACGCCAGCGAGCCGCAACGGGCTTGTGCTGAATGAAGTATGGGGTCTCAGTTTTCTTTTATAGAGAAAAAGCAAGGAGACGAGATGAGGAGATACCGGTAAACCGATGATGGAACGAGACAGAGAGAGAGATAGAGGAGATGACAAAGGGGAATCTCCAAGTGCGCTTGCCCCATCCGGAGGCCAGTCCGCGCTCGCCTCGGGAGCGTCTGTCGCAGGTAGAAAAGCAGAGGCCTAGATCACCTCCCTTCCCCAGATAGGCGTGCTGGGAAGGTGACAGCTCGAGAAGGACAGACACAAGGAGCAACAATGTCGTCAGCGACGACGGCGTGGCCAGGGGCGTGGATGATACACGCCTGCACTCGCGAGCACCCTGACCCAAAGGCGGACAGATGCTGGGAACGTGGGGGTTGGTGTACAATACAATACCGTATACAGTTGTAGTGTCCAGAGCGTTGCCAAGAATAGAACCAGCAAGACCCATACATACGGCACAACGCACAATGATGAACGTTCCCAGACCAGGACAAGTTTGGGGAGGCTTCACAGCGGCGTCGATCACCTGCGATCAGCAGCCCGCATCCCGTCGTCCCAAGGCTGCTCGCAGAGAAATGCATGCATTGCGTCGGGAGCTCGACTCGACTCGACTCTGGAACTTCTTCAGACGTTCCATGGTCAGGGGTTATCTCTCCGTCAATGTGACGAACAGCGGCGGGAAGCCCCCGGTCAGCAACGGGACGCAGACTTGGAATGGAGAGGGGGGCGTTGACGGCGGTGTTTTGAGTTGAAGTTAGGGATGACAACGGTCGTTCAAGTGAAGTGAGTGGGAGGGAGGAGGTGGTGGATTGCGCACGGAAACCCGTCAATCATCTGAAGACGGACCGGGATCTGCCCCTGTCTGCTTCAGATGCAGGGGCAGCAACAGCAGAATGAAAGAAGAGGGGCACTACATAGGTTTGACTGGGTTCCGTACCTTGTTAGTTGTGACTTGTCTGGACCTGGGAAGGGAGCTCTGTAAGTGCCGAAGGGAGTTTTCTGAGCTTTGGGCCAACCTCTTGATTGACGTAAGCTTAAACTTGAGGACTAGGTGATAAATGCTTGTGTAAATTAAGGGTAAATGAATTTTTGTTTACTATTTGCTACCAGCTTCCCGCATGCCAGCCAGCTCGAGGCGCTTGCGCCTAAAATCGACCATTGCACATTGCTGCTCGGTTTCAACTCTTGGTATCATTACGAGTAAAGTGAGTGAACTCTGAGGCTCTGACTTGTTTCCGAGTCCTTCGCCCGCATGCCATTCAACTCCGCACGGGACTGGGCGCCGCTCTCGCCTGCGAGCCATCTTGAGACACTTCAACCCCTCGACTCGGGGGGTGCCACTTTTCCGTAGAGCCCACCCGTCTCCATATCAGATAACCGTTGAGTGTTTCGCCGGCCTGTTACAATTCACGACAAGACCCATGTGTCGTTGCCAAAGGTACCTTCAATTCATCTGATTCGACTCGGGGCCTGACTCGGCACCCTTGCTGGCCAGATCCACGTCATCTCTTTTACATCAGATCGGCAAGGCTCGTCCTATATCGGTATACCCAAAAGTAAGCGATCCTCAACCGCTCTTACATGATGGCCCAGACCTATCCCCTGTACAATGTCGTGCCTCCTAACGACACCAATTCAACAACGATAGCTTGTAGTAGATAAGTGGAACAAAGAGGGAAAGGGTGCAGGTGGTGGTGCTGGTGATTTGACACCACATGAATCAAGACAGAAATGCCCATAATCCTGGATGAGATTATTCAAGACAAAAAGATTTCAAAAAAGGTGACCAAAGCGCTCACATCCAGTGTAAGCGATTCAAGTGTGTATCCAACAACATGACGTGTGAAAATGCCGTCAGGGTATCATAATCCATACTATGACTTATTCAAGCAGGCGATGGTCGACGTGCCGTGATGCTGCTGAGGAGCTATGTCGATAGCCAAAAGCCGTAGCGCTGGCAAGATAACCCAATAGCTTAGTTGGCTGATTTTCTGAGTATTCAGCTGGCCCCGGTTCCTTCCAGATCCCCAGAAAGATATCGTTCGGTCCGCTATGCAAGATCGCTGTGTTGAAGTCCAAATGCATGCAAGTCATATCATTCATCGTCGTCTCGCAATAACTGTCAAGCAATAAGAGGGCGATGTGAAGAACTTCTTCTCAATTGGATAAGGCCCCCTCATATAATACCACCTGGTGGATCATATCCCGTAGCTCCTCCACGTGCAGACCCGAGACCTGCACTGCCTGGAAGGTCGGCCGAGAGATCGACTTGGGCATTGTTGGTCTTCCGCAGCATAAACATCGGTTTCTTTCCTTCCTTGTCCAGCTGCTTAAATAGAATGAGAGGCTTCTCATCGAGGCCCAGACACCGTTCCTGGTCACCGTAGACAATGTAGAGTGCGTATTGATCCCAAGGCGCGTTGATCTGGTATTTCTTGAGAGCCGCCGGTAACACCTTGTAGCACGGGTCATCCATGCTCACTCTGAACGACTTGAATATTTCGACGGATGCATTACTTGAGCTCGGGGTATCAGGCGCTGGAGTTTGTCCCCGCCGAGGCGCTACTGGCTTATCGCGGGAATCGTAATGATCATTCTGTGAGAATGTAGTTCGTGTGGATGGAGTGGGTTGATCAGAACGATACGATCTGGAACCTAGAGTTGTTCCCGTCATGCCTCCTGTAGTCGGCGGCGACGTTGGTGATGGGATATTTGGAGACGGATAGGAAGGCGAAGTTGCAGGTTGGCCGGACCCATTTAAGGCGGCAAGATGCGAAGATGACAAGACTGCTCGTTCTGCCGCATTGGCAGGATCCAGTGTCTGTTCCATTCCTCGCTCGTGTGTGGTTTGTAGGGGAGAGGGTGATGTCGTCTTTGGGGTAGTTCCAAGCATGATCTTCTTCGTGGAGTACTGTCGCTTGAGACCACCACCAGACGGACCAGCGGTTGACGGCGTGGGAGCTGGCGGAGAAATCGTCGCATCGTAGTTGTAGCCGGTGCCGTTATTGAGGTGTGTGGGTGGGAGTGGCTGCTGGGCATCTTTTGCGAGGCGCAATGCCGGGAGCATATCCTCGCGCAGCCTGCGGAAGTCCTCCGTTAATCTTCGGAAGTCTTGTTCGAAGAGGTTCATTCGCTCGTCGCGCAGTCGAAGTTGTTCAACGAGATGCTTAATGTCTTTCAGGGTGGCCGTGGCATACTGAGCCTCGGCATCGGCGGCTATGAGTAAGAGTTAGACCAGCTCAATAGAGCTCGGACAGACACGCGAGGAGTCTGGCGAGTGAACAGCTGCGGCTTACACAAAGGGACATAGTGGTCGCTCTCTATAGGGACGTCTTGAGCCTTTTTGACGTCGTAGACGCTCTTGAGGATGGTCAGGCGGTGGCCGACACTGGTGATGCCCATCTGCTTCAGATCGTCATGCAGCAGTGCGACCAAAGCTTCACCGACGATCTCATTCTCTATGAAGCCGATTAGACCATAATCATGGCTGCCCGACTCGACACCGGACAACACCCACCTATAAAGTGATCTGAATATTGCTGCAGGCCTATGGTTGCGATGAAATCTGCGCACTCATCGGCGGTCCACTCGGATATGATGGTCTCGGGCAGACGGTCTGCACTGCTTCTGTAGCCGTAGGTGGTCGGGGTATGTTCGTTCGAGGGTGGATCGGAATCGGTGGGAGAGATGGATGCATCGGTGGCATCTATCGGGGAGCTCTCCTGGATGTCTCGCTCGTACTCGTCGTCGGCATCCGACTCTGCGTAGGCCGTTCCAGACTGGAAGCTCATGGCCATGGCTTCGGGGGGGCGCAAGCGAGGCCCACGCTCCTTCCGTTGAAGATGGTCAAGCTAGACTGTGACAGCGATGGCAGGCGATGATGCTACAAGCCGGTCATGGAAGGTTGGCAGGGACGACCGCTGCAGAAACCGGGTAGGAGTGAGGCAGGAGCAGAGAGGACGGGATGACGACGGCGCGGCAAGAGCGAGGAGGAGGAGGATGAGGAGTAGATAAAAAGAAAGGCTCCCGGACGGAGAGGTGGATCACAGTGACTTAGACTAGTTACTGTTAGGGATAAGACAAGACAAGGCTAGGCTAGATGGTGCACATAAGACGAGACGAGGCTCTTTGAAGGTAGTTCAGTCCGTTCCTCAGTCAGTCAGTCAGCCAGCCGGATCAACAGTCTGTGGTGGGCTCTTTGGTGGTGGTGGTGGTGCAGGAGGTAAGGTAAGGTAAGGGTAAGGTCAGGTCTGGTCTGGTAGGACGGTTGGCTCACGTATCCATCCATTCACTCATTCATTCACTTACTACCTACACAGTAATGCCCGCCCCAGCGCCCACCAAGAAGGGGAGGGAGAGACGGAGACAGGGACACACGCACCACAGCACACAGCACAGGCGAGCGGCTAGCAAGCGGGTTGCCGCCCAAACCAGCCTAGCGCCTCTTCATGCCCAATGGCATCGGCCTCATCCTGGATTCTACACGCCCATTTGCTGTCCACGTTGGCCATGGCGTCCAGGGCTTCTCTTTGGTCTCTTCAGATTCCTTCCTGGAAACACAGTACAATACAGTACTTCCTAACAGATTGGCTACGATGGTGATGTTCAGAGTACCGGAAGTGTAGGCTGGCGAAGTAAACAAGTACCTTATGTGTGGCCGCTCGCCTAGTGGCACTGATGGAAAGAGAATCCTCCCGCAACCTTAGGCACTGTCTGCACGCATGCACTCACTCAGTTCCTTTTGTTAACACTTCTCTCGCAACTTCCCTTTCCCTCCTGTCTGCAGGTGTCTAAGTGAATGACCTACCGGTACATGAGGTACCTAGCGGTAGCTCTGGGAGCCTATGCCACAGCACGGCTATTGGGCCGGTACCGTTTCTTCATTTCAGAGAATTTCCCGCTACCGTCTTGTCAAGGCTGGTCTCCGTTACATTGGCGAAAAGGGGCCCGGATTGCTTATGGATCCAAGAGTCCTGACTCGTAAAGATGGGGAAACGAGAATGAATATCCAAATGCTACGACCTCGTAGTATCTCAACAGCATCCCTAGTCTCTCTATGTTGCTTGCCTATTCCATAAATTAGGAGAATTCATGACATATGGCATATGGCATATGTTGCCCTGGGGCACAAGTCGACGGCATCCTGCATCGAGCCCTGTCCCAGCCGGTGTCTGCAAGACCGTACCGTCCCGTACTGTACCCCGAATATGCCAATTGCTCCTTCGTCCATATTACGCAGCCGTCTGGCTTGTCACTCCACGATCTCTCACTCAGCCTCCTCCTGTCTTCGCCGGATCTGGTGGCACCCGTGCATATTCTTGTCTTTTCCTTTCTGTCCGGTCCCTGAGCACCTGTACCATTACACCGTTCACACCCTCCATCATCTTCATCACCGATTTCCCTCTTTTCCTCTTCGATTCTCCATTGCTACCTACCTCGTCAGATCAGGCGACGCTCACAAATACGAATGTGTCTCGAGCGCGGTTGAAACATGCCGTCCACAGGCCCGGCGCACGCCCCCAGCGGCAGCCCATCCCACACGCCGCCCACCTGGAGTCCCTGAGTTTCACCTTTGCCGGCCGTCCCGCTACATCGCAACGTGAAGCCTCCAGATTCTCCAGGACTCGAAACACTTCGTCCCACGATGATCGTCTGCTAGTGCCTTGACAATCTCGTGGCATTCCTGCTCGGAGTTGCGCCGTTTCCACTGTGAAGGCTGATCTCTTGTTCTCCAATGCCGATGGACAACTAACACGGCATTCTCTCAACATCCAATGGTAAAAATAGCAACACGAGCAGAGCAGGCGGTATCAAACCTGCCTCCTTAGTCATCAGCCGCCATTCAGACAAGAACCCATCTTGCAAGTAACGTAGACCAAGGATATCATTCCACAGTGAGGACATCGCCAGCCTCGTCTTTCTCCCTATCCCACGACAACCGGGATACGTTCGTCACAGACCAAATCATCCAGGAGCCCTCTCCAATCTTCCCACATTCCAAACAGCCTCTTCCCACCGATGACGCACGCCCTGACACCATGTGTCTAAGCCTCACGAACCTGTGGGATTGGGACAGTTACTTGTTTATCTAGTGCACTGAGCTACACATCTAGTGCACTGCCGTAGGCCGCAACGGCGTGTTTTTGAAACCAGCCGTCTGCGTTTCCAACTGGAACCGCTAGATTCCTCCCTATGGGGCGGGCATTCCACTCGGCTTTCTAGAAGAACTTTAATTTCCTGGCCATGTCTTCAGTTCCCTACGCATAAACATACGAGCGCTCAGTCTTGATTGGCTCATCTATGGGAGCTGCTGCGAAAGACGTCGAGATGGTCGAGCATCTATCTTATCTAATCGTGCAGCTGGCTGCTTCGAGCAGGAGGATCTGCACGGTAATCGTGAGATGTGTGGAGCTTGGTCAGTGGGTGAAGTGAAGTGAAGTGTCCACGACTTGTCAATGAGTGACTTGACGTCCACTGTCCCCATAACCCGTCATCCTGCCTATTCAAGTGAAATCTCTTAAATCTCTCAGTCCAGGCGGGCCAGTCTTCAGTGGAGCAATAAACGGGCTGCGCAAAAGATGTTTCAAGATATCGTATATTCATCATGTAGGAGCTCTCCTTCCAGAGAAGGCCTCCCTGGTATCTCTCTAAGCTATGCAAGGAACCGACCAAGAATCGACTGTCCGCAACACAAAGACCAACAGTGTTGAGAACGAGACTGACCCGTACTTGAAGACGAACCCACGATGCGCCCCATAACAAATCATCAGACCATGAAACAATGAGACCTGCCGTGAACCCACTCTTCAATGCAAAATGCCCACATGCCGAAGTACCAACGATGCTATGACCTCTGATCTCGATGCAATGCCCGTTTCTGCGATCACCACTGCACGCTCCTCTTCTTCTGCACCTTCCTCCTCTCCTCGTCCCGGTTACGGTGGAAGAACCCGCTCACACTAGCAGACGGGTTCCCTCCATACGGTGTCTGCAGCGTAGGCCCGCTCGGCCGGGCATTCTGCGGTGGTGGCGGCGGCTGCTGCTGTGGCACCGACGCCGACGGCCCTCTCCACCAGCTGCCCAGCGAGCTATTATGAAACGCGCCCGGCCCCGGCGCCGGACCCGCGCTCAGCGGTCTCGGGGGCGGCTGAGGCGGCGGCGCGAACCAGCCCCCTCCCCCTCCGCCCTGCTGCTGGGCGGGGGCCGGCGGCGGCGCGCCGAACGTCGGCCGTGGCGGCAGCGGCGGGCTTTGCGACGGCAGGTCCTGGCCCTGCGTGCCGTACATCTTGCGCAGGCGCTCCGTCTCCCTGGCGACCTCGGCCTCGCGCCGCCGCCGCTCCTTGTCCTCCTCCTCGAGCATCTTCTTGATGCGCTTCTGCTCGTCGCGGTCGCGCTTCTCCCGCTCCCGCTGCTCCTTCTCGACCATCGCCTGCAGGCGCTTGGTCTCGGCCTCGATCTCGGCGGTGTTGGCGGCCGCGGGTGTGGCCGAGGATCCGATGTTCGACGCGGACGTCATGGTGGGTGGGCCCGGTCGGCTCTGTGGCGGCGGGATGTTGTTGCCCAGGGCGCCGGACATGGCCATGCCTGCGGCGGGTGGTGGTGTTGGGCGTGAGTTCTTTCTCTTGCCGTTCGTGGCGGTTATTGTCCCGGCGGAGAGATTGAAGATGTCTTGTCCTTGTCGAGGTGCGAGGTATAGCTCCCGTATGACCTCAGCACCCAGGATAAGCACGATATCCAGTCCTTTGCGATCTTCTACCTCGACACGCTGTAGATTGGGCTCGTAGATAGTCACTGCGCTCTCCCTCGCCTGCTTGAATAAGGCCACTGTAATGTCCGGGTCCTTGCTCTTGTGCTTCCCTAAGCTCCTTCCCACATTATAACACGTCATGTCCTTTGACAATCTGCCGTCTTTCCTCCACTTGAACATGACCTTGGGTCGTAGGCCTACAACGGGTTCGTTATTCTGGCGGTCGAGTTGCGATGCGGACGGCATCTTGAATGTCTGGGTGGGCATCTCAAAGTCCCAGCTGTCCATCTTGGTGAAGCTGCCCGGCACCATCTTGACGGCGATGCTCTGGTCGGGATTATACAGCTGGATGACGAAGCTGTCAGGGACGATGGGGATGGGCGTTACGGGGCCGCTCTGCGCGCGGATCTCGGCGGCGGAGAGCGTGGGCTGCTGCCACTGCGGCTCGACGACGACCTCGCCGTAGACGACGTCGGGGGCGTAGGGGTCGGTGATGGCGATGGCATACTTGTTGCGGGCGGCCGGGTTGGTGGCGGCGTCGGCGCGCTTGAAGACGTACTCGGGCTCCGGATCGGAGCCGTTCTGGGTGAAGTATATGACGCTGGAGAGCGGGTTGTCGGAGGACTGCTTGAAGAGAAACGAGGGGAGGTTCTCGTCGAGCATGGTGCTTTCTGTTATGTTAGCTGCCTGGAGCAGCTCTTCATGCGCGACGTATACAACCACGCTGACAGTCTAGACTCTGAATATCGAAAAGGGGACTATAAGTCTCTAGCCAGTCGACTCGGATGTAATGCTCAGTCCCGGAGACTGAAAATGAACTGAGGTGGACGCGGAAGTCCTGAGAGAAGGGCGCTTCGCAGCTCAGCTCAGCTCAGGCGTGGAGGGGTTAAAGAGAGTCAGTTGGAGCACACACGCAACGGGCTGACGAGGCAGGGCAAGGCTGAGAAGTCGGTAAGAGAAAGGAATGGCGAGCCTGTCAGGCTACGAAAAATGGGAATCAATGCAATTGTATCTTTGCATATACCGTGTATGCGCTGGTGCACAATTCGGCGCTGTGTGAGTGAGTCGCAAGCATTGAGAGGGCCGCCTCTCCTGATAGGTGAGACGTCACCAAGATCCAGCTCAGCCACAACCCATCTGTCGCTGTGGGGTTGGTTGGTTTTAGTGCACCATGCCGCCGGGCCAGTCTCTGAGGCTGTGCTTAACTTGCCGGGTGGGTACTTATACTGGCGCGAAGGTGACAACCGAGTCTCATTCGTTCTCACTCTGAGTTCGTAACGGCGGTGCTCTTGATATTAACCTTACCCAACCCGCATAAGCTGTACCTACCTAGAGCCTAGGTACTTAGGTAGAGGGGGGTGGCATGCCAATGGCAGACTACCGCTGTACGTTTGTAGTTAGTAGGCAGGCTCGGGTAGGACAGACCAGGCTCCCGACTGGGTTACTCCAGCTGGTAGGTTGGTAGATCCATACACTTGACCTCACGTCTGTGAGTTGGTTGTCAGTGAGTATGAGATGACTTTCGACACGAGTAGTCCTCGAACCTCTGCTCTTCAGTCTGCTCAGATACGGTATTGCGACCTATTCATGTTTCAGGTACTTTATGTTATAATTAAGTACTATATTCCTGCTGAAAAGGGAATTTGGAATAATACCTTACCCAAGGCTACGGTGATTGCCAGCCAAGCAAGCTCATCAGCTCAGCCCGGTCTTACTTCATGACATGGACTCACCACTCCAAGCCGGCGAGACATGTGAGATATGCCGAAAAATTCTTGAAGTTGCAACCTTCGCTCTGCAAGTCGACATACTTCCCAATCCCAGGGAGGCAGAAATAGAGAGAACTTGGGTGCATGGTGAGACCGGCTCTACATCAGCATCTTCCGAGTGCAAAGCCCACATAGAATTTCTTGAAGGACTGCGATTCCCACTTCGATCCAGCGTACGTGTTGGTGACACGATAACGCTACGTTATAATCTTCTTGGCATTCGCTTCTACACAGGCATTTTTACGGAATTGCAAGTGATATCCCCGATCACGAGTCACCGCCCATCCTTGATTAGGTATATACTCACAGGAAGACCTGTCGACTCCGGCTACATCGATTTGGACCTCGTACACAAGTGGCAGTCATATTGCGAAGGCAACCATGGGATCAAGTGCTCGAGAACATATGTTCAGACACCATCCACATTCCCAGCATGGCTCATCGATACAACCAAGTCTTGTTTAGTTGAGGGTTCATTTGAAACTCCCTTTGTCGCTCTAAGCTATGTCTGGGGTAAAATAGAGATGCTCAAGACGCAAAAGGCTAATCTTATCCTACATCAAGAACCCGGGGCATTCAAGTGGACCACAGGATACATCCCCCAGACTATCCGCGATGCCATGCGACTGGTGCCGCTGATCGGGAAAAGGTATCTTTGGGTAGACTCCCTGTGCATCGTACAAGACGACGAGCTGTCTCTGCCGTCTACTCTTCGCCAGATGGCCATGATTTTTGAGAGCGCTGCCTTAACGATTGTAGCGAACGATGGCGACGACGCTGACTACGGACTCAGGGGCATCCCAGGGGTGTCCGCGCCAAGGGTTCGGCAGCCGGTGTTGAAGTTGACCAACACTATCAGCATTACAGGAAACCAAAGTAAGCCTTGCAATCAATCAACATGGGGTTCACGAGGTTGGACCATGCAAGAGGCACTCTTCTCTCGCCGCAGGCTTCACTTTGTAGACAATTCTATTCGTTGGGTGTGCAGGTCGAATGAGTACTACGAAGACGTCGACGCGCCATTAGAATGGCAGTATGAGGATGGGCGTAAGGTCATATTTGTAAAGAGACCTGTTTATGAGGACCGCCTCTCATTGGGGGCAGGGTTGACACTCGATTATCCAGACATGAATCATTTCCAAACCCTTGTTTATCATTACAATCATCGCTTGTTCTCTTTCGAGGAGGACGTCCTACTGGCCATAGCAAGCACGCTGGTCTGCTTCGAGCAACAAGCTTTCCCTCGCGGTTTCTTGCACGGAATACCAATCTCATTCTTTGATCTCGGTCTTCTTTGGTCTGATTACCATGGATCTTTGAAAGCGAGAGAGGCCTCAAATCTCTCGCGCATGTGTGCACCAAGTTGGACTTGGGCCGGCTGGCGTGGTCGTATCGGTTTTCTGCATTTCGAATTGGTTAATTACATCAAAACTGATTATATACCGGGGATGTACCAGTTGAAAGACAGTTGCCAAGTTATCCCTTACTTAAATTGGTATACCTGCACCCAGCCGAACGCTGACCCGGAATCTATCCTACACCAAAACGACTGGTACCACTTCAAACACCGGTATATGGGCAAGAAGCAGCACCTACCCGAAGGCTGGAAATTCGCGTATGACACATATGATGATTGTGAAAAGTACAAAAACTCTCTCAAGAACTATCTAGAGCTGAAAACAGAACATGGTCGGCTATTCCCTGACAATCTTTTCACGAATTATCACTATACTCATGTATCAGTACCTCATATCAAATTTGTCCACCCTGTACCTCTTGGAAAGAGTCTCGAGGCCTCAGAAGGAGCAAATACTGGCAGATATCTCTGGACACGAACACAACAAGCCAATCTCTTGGTAGCAAAGCCATTCCGTTCGGATTATGAATCGCTAGACTGGAGAACCATAGAAAGATATTCTCACAACCCTCACTCTTTTCTACTCCTGGCAGAAAATGCAAGCCAATTTGTGGGTGATATATCGATGGCTTCTGGGGACGATGACATCCCGAAGATACAATCGCTTGGAAACTCTCTTGAGGCGGGCAATGCCCCTCCTGGCAAACCCTTGAGCGTTGTAGCGATATCTAGAGGTGCCCACTGGCCAGAGCCAATGGAGCCGTCGCGAGAGACATATAGCTTCTACAATGTTATGGCCGTCAGATGGGAGAATGGCATTGCGTACCGCGAAGGGATCGGTCGTGTGGAGCGGGAAGCCTGGGAGAGCTTGCAGAAGGAGGATATTGAGCTTATCTTGGGCTAGAATGGTGGTACTCTACGTCCATCCATTCATGCCGCTCTGGTATTGAGTGAGACTAATTATCAGATTGGTTCTTAATAACTGAAAATGGGATAGCTAAGTAACATGCTATGGAAGGAAATTAGTGAGAGGATTAACGTGCACACAGTTGTTTTTCGTTTCTTTAATCCCTTTTCATCGAATCAGACACCAATTTGTATCCAGGAGGGACAGGATGCGTCTCTCAATGTTTTTGGTTTCTCTGTTATTTCTCAACGCGATATCAACTCTCCAAATATTCACGGTATGTTGAATATTGAACAGCGACTGATAACTGTTATGATGAAACGATACACGATGGACTGCTATTTGAAAATCAGCGCCTCCGTAACCCGGATAGGAGGTCGCTGCCGGATTCGATGGAACAGAAAACTTCACTTATGGTAACGAAACTCACGATAGCTTCTCCTATAAACACAAGGCCGATGTCGGCTTATGATTCAGTAAATTCTCGTTCTTATCCGTCAATTTGAGCCTGGTGATGAGCTGCACAACTTCAGACGAACCTTCCCGTGATCGTTTAGCTATTGACTCTTTTTAGACATGTGAGCGCCGGCCAGGCTTAGGAGTCATCTTATTTAGGTTGACATCTCCAGGTTGAAGACACCAATCTCCCTTTCCCTTCTCCGTTCTTCTCCGTTCCTCCTTTATCTTCACCATCTCCACAACTCTCACCAAGCACCATGGAGCACAACGCCATAATCCTTCTCAGCATCCTCCTCCTCGCCGTCGTCGACGTAATCGACACCACAAGCCCCCTCGATCCACCCCCATTCACACTCAAAGGCCTCACAATCCTCGATCTCTGCATCCGCCGCCCCCTCGCGACTCTCCTCCTCATCAGCTGCCTGTCGCAGATGACCACCGCCTCACCCACAGATTTCATCAGCCTCGCACTCGCAGCCCTCTGCTACGCGGCCTCTCGCCTCTGGGGCGCGGGGGCAGTCTTCATCTTCCTCTGCGTGCCGGCGCTGTGGTTCCTGGCTTGCCACTGTCGCGTCCGCGTCCGCATCGACTGGGACGTGACCTAACATTTGGGATGTGGCGATGCGAAGGGGGACGGACACAGGGGCTGGGCTCACACGGCACAACAGATAGCAAGTTTTCGAGACGTACCGATAGATAAAATTTTCATATCAAATAATAAAGTCAAGCCTGGAGCAGAAAGACAGGAACGCTCCAGGGGGGTATCTATCTTCCATCCATCCACGAGTTCGGTTTCGTTCCACCGAACAATCCAGCCCATCCCTCGCATACCTTCCCATTGTGGCTTTCCCAGCAACTTATCCGGCCAAATACGTCAAGAGAGAAAAAGAACTGCTCCCTTTAGAGATTCCCATTCCGATTCCGAAAAAGTTTTGGGCTATCGTGAGACAGACAGAAAGTATATAAAACCGCACCGATCCCAAGCAATCTTCTTATTCCTTGAGGCTTTTTCTAATTTCCCTTTTTCCCTTTGTCATACGCCTTGTCATATCATATCCATCAAAGTCTGCCCTCTCACTTGAATTGCATTTCACTCCCAATCCTAATACCGCAAAGCGCCCATAGCAGCATAGCACAGCACAGTAGAGCAAAGCAATTGCCAGACTAGAAGTGATTCCCGTCCATGCCGGGAAACTGGTCCATAGCCATGTAGTCCAGCAAGTCCAGCTCGCCGACGCCGACGCTCTCGGCGGCCATGTTGGCGCCGTTCGAGGCCGCGCCCAGGTTCTGGAAGAAGGCCGGCCCCGGGGGCAGGTACCACATCTCGTTGCCCGGGTTGTTCCAGTCCGAGTCGCCGAAGATGTTGTCGGGCAGCGCGGCGTTGTTGTTCTGGCCCCCGCCGATATGGTTGTCTGGGGCCATGCCGGCCGCCGCGGCTGGCGTGGATGGACCGAACATGGACGTTGAGCCGGATGGGTATGGGAAGTTGCCTGTTGTGAGGTCGAATGGTGTGGCGGAGACGTTGGCTGGTGTGCTGGAACGTTCTGTTGCTTGTCAGCATGATGTATGCATGTACCTTGACTTTGAGAGACTCACCCTGGCCATTGATGCTTTCCCTAAGCTTTGACCAAGCTTGCTCCTGACCGTTGGTCTGCACCGCAGTGTGGCCGTGACCATTCATACCAGAGATAGCCAGCTCCGGCTTACCCTCCGGATTGGGGCTTCTACCGTCATTGGACACCGTCTGCATCGAGCTCGGTGGCGGCGGTGCATGGATGAACCTATTGCGCAAGCGGCTAGTCAGGTTCTCCAGAAGATCAGCAAAGCGGATACCAAGATGAACATCATCTACAACACAGTTCCGCAGGGCGTCTACAGTTCTATCCATGAGTCCGATAGACAGCTCGACGTCGGACTTTGTGGCTCCGAGAGCGAAGGTCTTGAGAAGAAACATGGCACCGCTAATTATGCGGAAGTACGTTCGAACAGGCGCGTGCTTGAGGTAGTCTCCAGGGAGCAGCCCCTCAACCACAGTGCGTAGCAGATTTCGACTGCCCTCTACAACTTCCCTGATACATTCCTGATCTGCGGCGCCGAAGCCGCCAAGCTGTCCCAGAGGTAGCTTGCCGTAGTATAGCTGGGTTTGTGGGCTCAACTGTGGCGCAGAATTAGTTGAGCCTGTAGCTGCAGGGGCAGTGGCAGATGTGCCCACAGCGTTACTAGTACATCGCTCCACAACCGCCTGAAGAGACAAAGAATTGATGTAGATGCGCACGTATTCGTATTCGATGGTGAGGATGTGTCGGATGTATGGTGGTAGACGGAAGCGCTCGAATTCCTTCCACCATTCGCGAAGCAGCGGCTGAAGCTCCTTTAGGTGGCCAATATACTTGCCGCTCTGAATGATGTCGGTGGTATGCTTCCTCGATCTGAAGAGCTTCTCATTACCCAAATGCATGGCGTTGCTGATACCTGCCCAGCAATGGATGATTTGATCGTCGAGTTCTAGATCTGGAATGTAGTTGAATGCATTGGACACGGATGATAAATTCGTGCCAGGTGTCGTGCCCTCGGTGGAGGTTGGTCGTCGGCGCGAGGCTGCTGGGTCAGTCTTGCGAAGATTCTCAGGGACCATGTTAGTCCATCCAAGCCGACCTGCTAGCTGTGTCAAGTATATCAACAACAATCTCTTGATGCGATAAGCTCGAATGCGATATGTCTCTTCCTCGTACTCGGGGCGCGTTATAGCTCCTGCAGCAAGCATTTCATCAATATCGTCGAAAACACCTAGCTCATATGCAAGGCCCATTGCTGTGCTGAGCAGCATCCAGCACATACGGTCGCTCCTCCATGCAGGCTCCAGCCAGCTTTCGATTCGCCTGCCACCGACAAAGGCAACTGGCCGCTGATTACCATCATCATCTGTCATGATGCTATCTCGAGGATCAAATGTAGGCAGTAACAGTTCGTCGATGGCTTCCGCCGGGGGAAAGTGAAGTGCTCTAGGGTGCCATTCAGTGAGTATCATCAGTGACTCTATAGTGCCCAATGTGCGCAAGCTTCCTTTGCGCAGACCACGCCAGGGCGCCGTGCTCGAGGTCTGGGTTTCGTCTGCGCTGCCACCTGAACCGCAGAACCCACCTCCGAAGGCTTCCTGGCCCCAGACCACCCGCTCAATCATGCCGCGCAGGTATGTCCAAAGCTGCTCATGAATGGCATGTGACCGGCAGTGGCCGCCGGTGCCCGGCATACGGCGATATCTTGAGGCGATGGTCAAGAGTGTCACCGTCAAGATAGGCTCCTCAGTCAGGAGAGTATAGTGGGATGCCGGATTGCGGAAGGTAGGCGGTGAGATCGGGGTCAATGGTGAAAGATATTCATAATAGCTATGATCTGTTAGCTTTATGTTCAGCTTAGAGAGAGCAGAATAGCGTACTAGTCTATATAGTCGATAGCCTCCTGGGCCGTGAACCATCCAGCCCTGACAAACCTGAAGCGTGCCCAAGCTTTCAAAGCTTCAGCATAACCAGGTTCATCCGCGGGGTCGGTCTTGGTCAGCATAGGATCAATGGGTGCGTCCATAGTGCCGGCTGGTCTGGACGTCTGTCGTGCATGATCCCTCCTGTCGCTGCCTTGTGGAGCCGCAGAGACCGCAGGATCCTGAGAACGAGACGAGTGGGCCGTAGACATTGTCGACTGCAAATGTGAACCCTCGATCTTGCTGCCGATATTGTTATTGTCTGTGGCGGCCTTGTATAGTAGGTCCAGTGCATCATGCGGGCCATATACACCCTTCCTCATGACAGTTCTAGCCTCGAAGTTCTCGAGGGGTGTGTTGGGCTCGTCGGCGCCGAACTGATCAGTTGTCCGCCGCGACGTTGCGATAGGGGCAGCCGTCGAGCTCCTCGAGTCGTCATAGCTATATCCATGTTCTCCGGGGCGTCGCAGAGGCTGGTTCCGACCCATGGAACCGCCGGGGGTGAGAGGGGTGTCACTGAAGAGCCTCTTGTCTATCGGAGGCGGGGATCCGCTCGCATGCAGCCTCTTGCGGCCGTTACGGACGATGTAGTCATCGTCATCGATAGACCCGCCCTCCTCGTAGCCGTCGTCGGTCTTTCTCTTACGGCGGGTGGCACTGAAGTAACACTCCTTGGACTCACGCCTGCAGCGCACACAGGGTGGATCGTGTGGGTTGTCGACGGAGCCGAGGTCGCAGCGGACCTTGCGCCGACGGCAGGGGATACATGCCTGGTAGACGCGCTTGTGCTGGGCAGACTGAGACTGGCCGGGCGGGTTCGAGGTAGGCGGTTGAGTGGACGAGGCGGCGGTCGCTGGGGCAGGCGGAGAGATGGGCGAGGAGAGGCCCTGAGCGCCGTTGCCGAGAGATGCGCCGGCGTGGACGTTGTACTGGGACATTGCCACGGGCTTGGGCTGCGGTGAGGTGGCAGCCGGTGTGCAGCAAGCACCTCACTCGGTCAGGTCAGGTCAGGTCAGGTCAGGTCAGATTCCAGACTGCGCGCTGGGGGATCGTTGATGCTCAAGGTGATTTCGGTCTTGATCGGGCTCTGTCGGTTTGCAGCGGTTGGGAGAGGAAGAAGCGGGACTACCTAGAAATAAGAGGGTCGGCCGTTATTATTAACAAGGCAAGGTCGGGTCAGTCGATCGAGTCTCGGTCTGCGGGGTCGGGAGTGCGGGTGCGGGTAGCACAAAATGTCCTTTTTGCTTGTGAATCACCGCCCGTCGTTGGTCAGCTGGCTGCTGGCTGCTGGCTGCTGCTAAGCCAAGGTTCCTCCTTGCTATGATAACTTCCTGAGGACTCAGGACTCCAGCGGAGAGGGGGGCGAATTGAGAGGTCGGCTGAAGAGTGTTTGTAGGGCAGACAGCGGATTGAAACGGTCAGCGTCGCTTTTGTTGGGGTGTGGAAGGTTGCCACGACATGCCGTGCCGGATGGCTGGGACTCGAATATAGAATATAATGAATGGCTTTGTTCCCTCTTTGTTAGAGTCGAGTCGAGTCGAGTCGATCGAGTCACGGTCACAATTGGCTCTCATCAGCGAGGCAAAATTCGCGCTCACTTTCTCGCTTTCTCTTTCAGGCTGACGACTTTCGAGGTCCCGTGGCCCCGTGGTCCCGACCTGCCTTGTCAGGCTGGCTTTTGGTCGCATATCTAGTCTACTGTAGGTAGCAAAGCCTCTCTCGGCTCGCCAGGATGCCATGTCCTCTGCGTCCTTTCGCTTCCTTGCACCTTGCACCTTGCACCTTGCAATCGTCGCTTCCTGATAGGTGCTTTGCTTTCTGTTGGCGATAAGAGCTTTTTCTGCACCTGCTGAGCTCTGCAAAGCGGTACTGTCTGTGAGTCTCCACCCGCGCCATTTGTCAATGAAATTCCAACTCTCTTGCATGCAAGAAATGCCGCCAGACTTCCATAGGCTGAGCTATTATCAATTGTAAATGTCCAAGACATGCAGCTGGGAAATGCAGAGCCAATGCGACGAGACTCCTTATCATATAGGAAGGAGTACAGTAAAGTTTGCCCAGATGGGATGGACAGTCAAGTGCAGAGCAAGCCCATAGTTCATTAAATATCAAATATAATGAAACAACAATCAGGTCACTTGCAGGCTGTGATGACGGTCCTGTCAACATGGCCACTGTCTCTCAGATCAATCAATAAATCATTAGGACAATCAGCCTTCCAGGGGAAAACAACAAACTCAGCGAGGTAGTCCACCGCGTACAAATCGAAATCAATCGAATATGTACACCTCTGCCGGGGTAA